ATGGAAGTAAGCATGCTCTTAAATAACAATACATCAAATCACCTCAAGAGTACACGTACCAATAATCATAATAGAAGCACTTAGAAGATAACCATATTCAATAACATGTTTTTTCATCTTTAATCTAGCAAGAAGGCAAATTTAGACAATTCGACAAACACCTAGTGTCCTTGTAGTCAAGAGAGTTCAATCATAATCATTAATTGCATAGACTTAACAAATTTCACATCAGAACAAATACAACTTTTCTAGAATCATCAATTTAGCTTGCAAGTTGACACAACTTCATCCTACCAAGCATGCTAGCAAGAAGTTAACACGAACATCATATGAATTTGACAATTAGATACCAAGTAGTTAGTAGATACGATGAAGGTTAACATAGTGACCAAATTTCTCTACAAAAACACATATAACATATTACATCATAAATTATTCATATAAAAACTCATAATAACAAAGGACTCCATAAATTAGACACCCCTACCTCTTGAAGCAAGCAAACTTAGCCATGCTTCCATGATGAAACTCCATCAAATTGAATGCTAATACCACCAAGCTGAACAGGAATGTGAGGAAAACAACAATTTCTCCTAGAGCCACCCCAAAATCTAAGCCCTTGCCTCTAGACCCAAAACTTCAATGTGCTCTACTCTTTGCAAAAATGATACAAAAAAAAAAAAAACTATTAAAGTGTAGATCAAACTTTTCTTCTAGCTCAAAGCTCAAATCTCACTATAAATAGATCAAACCTAGGGTTTAAGTATGAAAATGTGTAACAAAATGAAAAAGAGAGGAAGAGTAAAGAGGGAGAGGGGAAAATGAGAAAAAATATGATTCTAACTCCTTTTATTCCTACTTTAGGGGCGCACACGGTTTGGTTCGGTACGGTTCTGACGGGAACCAGGACCGGAACCAGCCACAATGGTTCCTTAAAAATGGAACCGGAACCAGAACCGTGTGTGTATGGAATTGAACCGAGCTGAACTGTGAATATTGGTTCAGTTCGGATCGGTTCCACGGTTCCCCATTTATGAACTTTTTTCTTGTTGTTCCCTTACTTATTTGAAGGCTTTGAGCCCATAGCTAAAACAATTAAACAGAGTTACAGAATACAATAGCAAAAATAAATATATAAATAAATACAGAAAATATAACTTCAAACTGATTGTCGTTGACTGAGAAGTCTGAGATGGTGTGTGGGTGTAGATCGGAGAAGCCGTGTGACCATGTCACTGACTGAGAAGTCTGAGATGGTGTGTGGGTGTAGATCGGAGAAGCCGTCTTAGGAAACAGAGTTACAGAGAAGATGAGAACTTGATCGGAGAAGCTGTGTTGCAGTGTCGCTGACTGAAATGGTGTGTGGACGATAGCCACGATACAGAAGATCAGAGGATGTGAGGGCTGATGAGTGATGAGGAGTGAGGACTGAAGATGGGAGGAGTAGAGGACTGATAACTAATGAGTGATGAGGACTGAGGAGGGGAGGGAAGGGCGATGCGGCTTCAAAGAATCAAATATCAGAACAGCAGAACTTAAGAGTTGAGATGAGGACTATAGAGGGGAGGCGAGGGTTAGGTTTAGGTTTAGATGAGTTTTTGTGGTTTAGTGGTGGACCACGTGTAACTTACTGCTATATGGTATAAGTCATTAAAAATATATATAATTAAATATATAATCATATATACATATATACTATATATATACGATTCTGGTTCCTTCGGGTTTGGAACCGAAACCAAAATCGTAAGCCCAAGGTTCCTATTTTCATAACCTGGACTGGGACCAGAATCGGAACTGTGGGAACCGGAACCAAAGCCCTAGTTCTATTCGGTTCGGTTCCACGATTTTTTTGTGCACCTCTATCCCAATTAGTTAAATGGTGGTCCCCATCCCATGCGCCAAAAATAATAAAATACCCTTCCATGAGTAATATAACCACAACTATGCCATAAGTATACCTTTAGGTACACATATGCATGTATGTATATATATTTATATATACACCCCAAGAATGAAATGTTAATGAAATCGAAAAAATTTCCAAGGGCCTTGGGTCCACACGGGACCTCACGGGCCTGAAAACTCAAAAATGACGAAACTACTCGTAATGCATTTCTAATAATTCTAAATTCGAAAAAATGCCCTAAACAACCCTCGGAACTCATGTGGTATGCATATCGATGCACGAAAATAATAAATATAAAAATAAATAAAAATGCCAAAAAAATTTGAAAAAATTTGAGACAATACAAATAAGTACTTATCACAATTAAATAATTTTTTAAATTTAGTTGGTAATAATATACTTTAATAGGATGTTATCATATTTTATAATAGAACTTTACCAAGAAAAGAATGTAATTGTCTTTATAAAAAATAAAATGGACAAAATTGTTTAATAAAAAGTAGTTACTTAAAATATTCAACTTCAATTCAGAATACAGTTTTTTTTTTTTTTTTTTGATAAGTAAAATTTTATTAAAAACGCTCAAAAGGGGAGCACCAAAGTTCGTGCTTAGTCCTTGGGTGATGCAAATCGTGGTGAAGGGCGAGCATCAAGTCGGCAGGAGGCCCTTGCTTGCTCGGGATGTCGTGGAGGCGGCATGATAGAGAAGAGTCACGTCCTTGAGGAGTGGACGTCCCCTTGGTCCGAGGCCTATCATTGGGCGAGTGTAGTGCAAGGAGCTGCACAAGGAAGCGATGGTGGGAAGGCGAGCATACCGCTTGCAGGCAAACTTTGGAAGGGAGTGGACACAGTAGTGAAGCGCCGCAGTGCGACGAGGGCGTCGCAGGATTTGGGTGGGGGAGAGTGTCACGAAGTGATTCCTAACACGCTTGGAGGATGGAAGACATGCATGCTGGTTGGCAAAGAGCAGAGCTAGACTGGGAATAGTTCTAGGGAAGGGGCGTGCAGGAGCACAGGATGGTACCTTTTCAGAGTTCAGGCAGGTCGACTCGGTTCAATTCAGAATACAGTTTTGGAAGCTCCAAATTCTAACTTCATTTAAAAACTTCACTGAACTAAATCTGGTAACTATTAAAAGCGCTTTTAATGGTTACCAAACACATCTAAAAATAATTTTTTTAAAAATAAAAGCGTTTTAAGCCGTGGTCATGACCTGATTCATTACATATTTGATTGAGTGAGTTTGATAACGCAAAATTAATACCACTTAAAATAAGTGTTACTTAAAATATGAAAAAAAATTAGTGATAAAGAGTTTACTTATTATTGAACACTTAAAATTTCAAAAAATATAAGAAAATGTTTTAGATTTATAACTAAAATTTAAAATTTCAGCACTTGAAATTTAGCTCCCAAAAATTTTGGGCGCGTAATTTTTAATTTTACTAAACAGCGCCTAACTTTCTTTAAACTTCATAAAATCATAATTTATATTCAATTTAAGATTCAAATACCTCAAACGATCATGCTTAAACATGCACAAAAAAAAAAAAAATCGTGCTTAAACTCTATTTTAATTTGATGACCACAAGATACACAAATCATAACTTCTATTAAATTTGGATTCTAAAAGACATTAAATGGCATGCTTCAATGACGCTCTTAGTCCACAACTCTAAGATACATATCATTATGAAAAATAAAAATAAAAATTCTACATATTTTATATTACGATTCACCCCATCACATAGTATGATATTGTCCGCGTTGTGTATCTGAGCTCTCATGATTTTACTCTTGGGTTTTTCCCCAAAAGGCCTTGTACCAATTGGAGTGTAAAAATCCTATATATACACTTTTCCTTTCAATACACAAGCGTCGTGAGATTGTGCACCTGTAGCTCGCCCAGTATGGTAGCTAATTGGTGCCTCTTGCACCCGCCCACAAATTAGTCGCCAAAATCACCCCCCTTAAGAGCCAATGTCCACGTTGGCTACACTTTCGATTAGGTCAGGCTCTGATACCATTTATAACAACCAACTCCACCACATGGTATTTAATATTGTCTGCATTAGGCCCGAGCCTGCATGATTAGGTTCTTAGGCTTTACTCTAAAAGGCCTCGTACCAAATCCTATATATATATCATTTCTCTTTTCCATGCCCAAGCAATGTGAAATTGTGCACCTGTAGCTCACTAGTGTGATAGTCTGCCAGTGCTTCTTACACCCGCCTACGACGCACCAGTCCACAAGGTCGCCGTAATCACCCCCTTAGGGGCCAACGTCCCCGTTGGCTATACCTCTAACTGGGTCAAACTCTAATACATTTGTAACGACCAACTCCACCACATGGTATGATAATGTACGCTTTGAGCCCGAGCTTGACCCAGCTGGAAGTGTGGCCAACAGGGACGTTGGACCTCTAAGGAGGATGGGAGGTGATTGTGGTGACCTTATGGGCGGGTGTCTTGCGAGTGGTGCAAGAGATATTGACAAACTACTACACTGAACAAACTACAAGTGTACAATCTCACATCAAATTTTGGGACACAACTCACATGTCTAGTGTTCAATCAACCCTAGAGGTGTTAAGCCTTTGTCTTTCGACATCTACATATTTATAGTTTTCTGAGCACAAATTTTAGAATTTAAATGCCATCACATCAAAAATAATAAAACTAATTTTGACAAAAAATTAATGTAATAAACCCTAAATATTTGAAAGAAAATTTTATTGAGTTTAGCTATGTGTTACTATTTATTAAAGAGTAAAAAAAATTAGGCCATAAAATAGTTACAAATAGACCCTAATAAGTTCAGATATAACCCATTATATCATCATGTCATTTCACTCCGGGGCCCATTATGTGAAAAATAAATGCATAAAGGCAGAATTAAGAAATTAAACTATTCAAGTGCAATATCAAACAAACAAAAACTAAGAACTTACATAATTGCAATAAAATCAATTTGTCAGCAGATAGGTTATAGCTTACACTTGCAAACCATTGCAATAGACTTTTCAAAATTTTCATATCCAACTTTATATATATATATATATTACTTATGTTGCATTCAAAATTCACGTAGAGGCAATGGAGTTGATTCAACCTTTGTACGATATTGCGAAAAACATGTGCACACCCATTTGTAGACGTGTGGATTATGCAATAAACCTGTCAAAGAATTTCACTGAGCTGAGCGGGAGAGTAAAAAAATTATGCGACAGGAGGGATGACATTATATATCAGATTGACCTTGTTAACCTACAAAAGGGTCCTACAAGAGAATGCAATGGCTGGCTTGAAAGGGTGGATGAGATTGATAAGAAGACGAAAGAAGATGAGCAGCTCATTGGCAAAAGATGTTTTAATGGATGGTTTCCAGATGTCATTTCTCGTGTGAAGCTCGGTAAGCATGTGGTGGAAATGATCGAGCAGGTTAAAGAGCTCCAAGCGGAATCCAGGTTTGAAGATGGTTTTGTCATTGATTTGCCACCAAAAATAGTTGAGGAGAGGCCTGCTGATGCTTTGATAATGGGGAATTCAACTAATCTCACCTTGCAAAAGATACTAGATTCCATAAGAGATGAGGGTGTCCAAAAGATTGGAATTTGGGGCATGGGTGGGGTGGGAAAGACAACCTTAATGAATGTCTTGAATAGTGAGCCTGAAATTCAAACTATGTTTCATATTGTAATACGGGTAACCGTCTCAAAATCTTGGAGCATTAGGAAGATTCAAGATGAAGTTGCACTGCGCTTGTCATTACCGGATGTAAAGGATAAAACAGATGATAGAGTTTCAATAATGTTGTTTGAGAAACTCAAGGGCAAGAAGTATTTGTTGCTTCTGGATGATGTTTGGGAAGAAGTGGATTTGATCAGAGTGGGTATACCAAGTACAAGTCAAGAGAAGGGTTGCAAAATTGTTCTGACAACCAGAGATATTGGAGTTTGTCGAAAAATGTTAACTGATAAGGAGATCAAAGTGGAAGTTTTAGACCAAAGTGAAGCATGGAAATTGTTTAACTCAAAAGCGGGAGGAATCTCATTGCTCCCAACTACCAAGCCGATTGCTGAAAAAATCGTCAGAAAGTGTGGTGGCTTACCACTTGCACTAAAAGTAGCAGGTGGGGTGTTGAGAATGGTTGAAGATGTAAGCGTGTGGAGTAATTTTTTGAACAAGTTGAATTCATCAGCTATGTCTGACACTGAAACTATGAATGAGGATGTGTTCAAGTCATTGAAGGTCAGTTACGACGCGTTGAAGGGTGACAGCATCAAGAATTGTTTTCTGTATTGTGGCTTGTTTCCAGAAGATGCAAAGATTAAAAAATCTAGGCTGATCACTTATTGGAGAGCGGAGGGGTTTCTTTGGAGTAAAGGGACTTTGAAAGATGCTTATGATGATGGGTGTGCGAAATTACATGACCTTATTGGTGCATCTCTGTTGGAGAAGTGTGAGGATGAAAAACATGTAAAGATGCATGATGTGGTTCGAGATTTAGTTCTGACGATGACTTCTGCGGGAGGAGAGGAGAGCAGGTTCATGGTGAGAGCTGGACTGTCCATGTCCGTGCAGGAAATACCTGATGATAAGGAATGGGAAGAAGCAAGTAGGATTTCATTTATGTATGCCAAGGAATACAAATTACCAGAGAAGCCAAAATGTCCCAAGCTGTCAACATTGCTGCTTCAGCCACGTGGATATTATCTGGAGGCAATACCTGAATGTTTCTTCAATCACATGCCTAACCTTCGACTTTTGGATCTGTCAGGAAGTCGCATCTCCTCATTGCCATCCTCCATCTCAAATTTGGTCAACCTTCGAGCATTGCTTTTGGAAGGATGCGACAATTTACAGGCTTTCCCTCAGGAAGTAAGTGTGCTCCAGAGACTTGAGGTGCTCCATGTCAGCAGTGCGTACAATATGCCGTATCAACCTAGTGAGATGTGGAAGTTAACCAGCCTTAAAAGTTTGAAATTTTCACCTCTAACTTTGAGAGTCCACAAAGATGAGGTGCGGAAGTTGACCGGCCTTAAACGTTTGAAAATTTTACCTCTAAGTGTGAGAGTCCCCAAAGATGAGATGGTTCCTTCTAGTGTGACCATATCCAGACTTTCCCTGCTTCAAGAATTGAGTATTAAAAGGATGAAAGGGGAATTGAGTAATTTGGAAACTTTTGCAAAAGAGGTTGGCAGCTTGACACGGCTCTCTTCACTTAAATTCGACTTCACAACAAAGTATTGTCTGACACACTTTCTCAATAACAGCCAACCATGGAAAGATCGTACCATACAGAAATTCAACTTCCATGTTGGATATTTAAAACCGGCATCATTAAGTATTCCCAAAATATTTGAGAGGTACCTGTCATTATCATTTAACCCGGAGTATGAGGATGGAGGAGAAGTAACTAGTGAAGAAATAAAACAGGTACTCCTACGTTCGGAGTCTTTTTACCTAAAGGGTTGTGAAACCCTTCAAATACTATCAGAGTTGGGTGCGAAAAGAGTTAATGGGTTAAAATGTTTATCCGTCCATTCTGGTATACATGAATATATGATAGATGAAGAAGGATTGCAAGGGCATGCTTTTGCAAACTTAGAATACCTTCGATTGAAATACTTAGATCATTTAAGGGGCATCTGCTGCGACAAATTACCAATGCAATTAAGCAGCACCACCAATAGCTTCACCAAACTGAAGGACTTGGAAATATCGGGATGCGAATCGATAAAGAAGGTGTTCTCATGGGGATTGATTCCGCAACTCCTTAATTTAGAAATATTGGATATTAGTTCTTGTTGGAAATTGGAGGAGATAATTTCAGCTGATTTCGATGAGAGGGAGGAGGACAACAGGAGGCTTGAACACGTGAACTTACCCAAACTGAAGCTTTTGGTTCTTGGATGGTTACGAGAATTGGTTGGCTTCTCCAAGAGGAAGAGGAACCATCTGTACTTGCATTGCCCTTCCTTAGAGGAGGTTACTTTTAAAGATTGTCCAAAACTGGAAATATTTCCTTTTGGCATCGACAGTGCACCTCATTTGAGAAAGATTAAAGGAGAACTGAAATGGTGGGAAGCATTAAAATGGGAAGATGATGCCACTAAATCACGATTCGCCCCGCTCTTCCAAATATATCGCTGATCAATCATTCTGTGGACATCAATTCCTCCCAATGACGTTGTAGTCCATACAGGTAACAATACGACACTGCAATTCTGTTTAATATTAGCACCCTTTAATGAAGTTGTAGTCCCTGCATGCAGGTATACTACACTGATACCACACAATTTGAATTTTTTCTTCTAATCTACAAATAACTATACTTCCAGCCACTTCATATAACTACCTTTTCTTATTCATTTTAATTGCTCAAACAATTTTCTTTTCTTTGTAATGAATACACTAAAACTTTGTTGCCATAGAATTGGTTCGAAACTACCTGGGATTTCTAAATTCACTGTGTTGAGTAGATTGTATGGAATTAAAATTAGTCTCACATGAAAAGCTTAAAAAACTTTCTTCAAATTAATAAATAGTACTGACATGCTTGTGAATTTGAAAAGTAGCCTTGTAGCCAATTGCTATTCTAAAATAGGAGTGTTTGTTCCAAATTTTGCATTCAGTTTTTCATTTTTGAATGCTCTCTTTCTCTCAATTTTTTGTCGGTCTAAATTACAAACAATTTTATAGTGTTTAGGGAATGTTTTTCAATATTGTTAACGGCAGAAATTTAGAGACTTTTTAGTATGCTGAGGAGTTTTGTCAAAATTCAGATGGTAAGGGCAGACATTAGGGTACGCTTCCAAGTATCATAAATTTACATTACTTCAAATTCGTCTTCAAGTTACTGCATCTACTTCAGCAATATTTTGTGACCAAAATAGATCAACAGGATTTGATGGTAAGTGGTGCGTTGTTAACTGTTCTTTTTTAAGATTTAGGTGTTTATCTAGAATAAAAGGCACAATCTTTAATATAAAATTGTGCTTCGTATCATACCTGTGATTCATATGGTGTTCCAAACTCTTACGATGTTGGAGAGGTTGTAACTCAACTATTTATATATTCTTAGTCGTATGTAAGAAATGATGCTTCTCTGTGGAGCTGATATGGACCATTTAATGTTGGACTTAGCTCTCAAATGTCTTTCCAGCTTTCCGTCTCTGCTTGTGGAATTTGGTTACCGGCCTCTTCAAGGAAATGATATGATATTATATCTGTTTTCTTCTTCGAGAATGTCATGAAAGGTGTTGAGTTGTTCTGATCCAGCAACTAACAGTTTCTCAAATCTCTGTGTTGATTGTGTAATTGATAAGGAGCGATTGATACATATTTGCTTTAACAACTTAGATTTGTATATATTGTCTTAAGGTTGTTTGGTTTGAGCTCATCCCATTTATATTATTTCATGTAATCGATGAGCTGACCAGTTGCTAAAGACTTCTATGTTTAGTTCATTGACAAAATCTGTGTAAGCAGAGTCTGTGACTGCTGTTATTATGAAAATTGTGAAGTGTTATAAACTATTAAAGGTTGCTATTGTTTTCATATATTGCATTGTAAATTTATTTTCCTATTACAAATTGGTTTGAGTGAAAAGACAAGATGCTGTTAGGCCTTGAACTTTGGGGCGCGAGGCATAGTATTGTGTCCTGACTGGAGCCTGCAACTTTGACCTTCCTGTCAAAATTAGAATCTATCACTAATTTAACCTGCCTTGCCTTGTTGGCATAGACATGGTTTCGAAACTAACTGGGATTGCTTCTCAAACGTCCTTTCCGATAATGTGCTTTACTTATTCTCATTTAAAGTTTGTTGGCATAGAAAATATACTTTATGAATGTGATATATCTCTGCATACTGAGTATATGCATATAAGAAAAGGATGTCATTCTATGATGATTCAGCCTTCTCTTCGTAGAAGCAGTACTTCAAGATTAGAGCTCCAATCAGGCAATCATCCATGTCAGTTCCTCCACACACAAAAAAGTGAATCTATATCTGTTCAGACAATGATACATACTTCATACAAGACTTGTAGTTTTTCTTCATTTGTAGTGGCAAACACACACTTCGTGTTGTTCTCTAACCTGTAGCAACCTGCAATTTCAGGGATTCTGATACCATGCTCACCACCATCTAATTTAAAAGCTCGAGATGTCGGAGAGGTTGTAATTTTATATATATATATATATATATTCTTAATATTATGTAATGAATTATGCTTCTCTGTGCAGATGATATGGACCATTTAATGTGGAGCTTGGCTCTCAATTTCTTTCCAGCTCTCCATCTCTGCTCACTATGTGGAATTTGGTTACCAGCCTTTTCAAGGAAATGATCTGATTTTATATTCTGATTTCTTGTTCGTGAATGTCATAGAAGATATTGAGTTGCTCTGCTCCAGCAACTAACAATTTCTCAAATATCGGGTGTTGATTATGTAATTGATAAGAAGCGACTGATACTTATTTTGTTTAATATTTTTTACAACCAATGTTTTATAATGTAACTTATATCTGTATATATCGTCTCAATGTTGTTTGGTTTGAGCTCATCTCATTCATATCACTTCATGTAATTGATGAGCCCACTTGCTAAAGACTTCTATGCATTGTTATTATTGTCTGTACTTTATTTATTCATAGCAAAATCTGTGTAGGCAGAGTTTGTAATTGATATTATTATGAAAAATTTGGTGCTTTATAGACAATTAAAGCTTGCTATTGTTTTCGTTTATTGCATTGTAAGTATGTTTTCCTATTGGCGCGAGGCATAGTATTTTGTCTTGACTGGAGCCTGTTGCTTGGACCTTCCTGCTCATTTTCTTGGACAAGGTATGGGGATCAAAACTGTTTACTTGTTAATGAGGTTGTTAATTTATTCATTGAACTGCCTTTTTACCCAGTCAATTACATCCTAGTGTATTATGTCTAAAATTCAGCTTGGAATTATAAAATTGAGAAGAAGTGGATGCGGCTTTCTTACCTTTCAAGGCGATGGCAATGAAGGTCTGGCAATGTTCATTTCTTTCTGGAGCAAAAGTAAGGATTTTTTTCGCACATTTTGTCTGTTGTCAAGTATTAATTTATTTTCCCCCTAGTTTGTCAAGTATTACTTGACCTTTATATGGGATTACTTGACCTTGACTGTGAATTGTGAAGCCTGTATATGGGATTTCTTCTATGTAGACATAATGCAGCAATTGGTGTTACTCTGTTAATCTTTGAAGATAAACAGATTTTGGACTTTATTTTGTAAAAGATCCTTAAATTAGAATGTGCAACCAATGACTATGATGTTTTGTAATATTAAGGCTTGCAGAATGCAATTGGTATTACTCTGCTACCATATTTCATCTCTTGCTTTAGATTGCAGAAATTGAAGAATCGGGTATATTCTTTAATTCTCAACTATAGTGGACTTGTTTTTTACAAATCTTCCATTACAAATATCTTATCAACTCCCTAGAGTTACACTTGATGAAACTTCTAGATTTGTAAGAGTGATGCATGTACCACAGGAAAGTGCATTACTTTCCAACACTCCCCCTTAATGCACTTTCTTCACAACACCAAACAACTCCCTAAGATGGCAAAACTTTTCTTTCGTGAGCTCTTTGGTAAGAATATCAGCCTTTCGATCTTCTGTTCGGATATCAGCCTTGATGATTTCTGACTCCTTCATTTTGAGATTTTCAAATTCTCTACGTAAAGATTGAAGTACGATATCAAAGCTGCTCATTTCTGGTCTATGAATGCAAAGGTGAATGACTCGGTTATATGGAAGTCCATTCTTCAAAACAGAGAGTTCATTCTACGACACTTCTCTTTTGTAGATTGTTCGTTTATAAATCTAAGGAAGAGAGGTTACTGGACCTGCTATCTGTCACAATTGTTTCGGGGATGTGGATTCTCGAGACCACCACTTTTGGTGCTGTCCCTATGCAAGAGCAGTTTGGAAGTAGTTTTCTGATTTATGCCACTGGGAAGATTTACTAGACCTACCACATTTCTATGATGCTCTGACTTGGTTCATTGAACATACTCGACGACTTTCTACCAGAAGCAAGCTGATGAAATGCTGGTTCACTTCAATTCTATGGACTGTACTATATTGTTCCATTTTGTATGACTAAAATTTCCCACATTAATGGGAAAAAAAAGATTGAAAATGTATCTCTGGTTTCAATTTCGGTTCTATATTTCATTGGAGTTTCATGCATTGTTTTTCAGATGGTTGAAGATGTTGCTGCAAAAGTTTGTTTTGGTAATCATTCAAACTCTTATTTAGGAACCTAGCTTTTTCTCTACACGTACCATGTTTCATCATTCTCATTTGTTCATTAGTGAAATCGAAATGCTTCAATTGTAGGTGTTATAGAGCCTAACAAGGCTTTGTTTGGTTGAAGCCAATGCAACAAGTGCTATCCATGAGAACTTAACCTCCCTCATTTCCGAATCCATCTATAGCTGTTTAATGAAATTTAATAGATGATGGAACTTCTCTTTTTTGTCTTTTTCTTTTTTTTTTTAATATTTTTTTTTCCTACTTGGTACTCACATGCCCCATCCAAGGATAATTTAATATTTTTTGTCCATATATTGAGAGAAATATAATACAAGAAATAATTATTATTCTTAAAATGGCATATGATTAGCTGCTCTTTAGTTATTATTGTTGTATTTTCACTTGATGTTCATTTATCTTTCTATATACCTTTCAATTTTTTTCTTATTCCATTAATAAATCACATGCCCTACATATCGAACATTAACCATGGAGGCTCCATTTGGTTAGGTAGAAATAACAAGAATAAAACACAAATGAAATTTTTCTAAACTCTAGCTTAGCACGAAAAAGAAATTTTTGAAGGAAAATTAGTTTTTATAACCCCTTCACTATTCTATAAAATTTTCCTACATAACATGCAAAAACCTTTGATTTCTTGAGAAAATTTTTATTTAAATTATAAAATGATAATTTTATATAATTTTTTTAAAAAAATAAAATTTATGTTAATCAGATATATTTTCCTTTCATTTACTCCATTTTCTTTTACTTCTCATTATAAATTTTTCAGTACTAATTTCCATCTAATAAAAGAAGCCTAAAATAAAATTGATGCCCACCAAACGGCGTCGTCTAAAAGAAAGCTTGATTTGGTTTCAACTTTCGTGGCCTCACACACTAGGGATCTAGTGCCAAAGCCAAATATACTTTTACACACAGATATATAGATGTGTATGTATATATCTAAAACAATCACGGTGCTCATAGTTGTTGTCTCGGATGTTCTTTTGATTTGATTTGGTTGACCGAAGATGTCGTTTAGGAGTCTTAAGGTTCCGCCGAACTCAGCGACACTGGAGGAGGCAAGGCATCGGACCTTCGAATTCTTCAAGACAGCTTGCAGATCCATTCCCACCGTCATGGATATCTACAACCTGGACGACGTTGTCGCGCCCTCCCAGCTTCGCTCCACCATCGCCGCCCAAATCCGCAAGAACGGCCACGTTAAGGACCCTAAGGTAAACACACCTCAAACCCCTCCTTTTTCATTGCTCAATTATCATTATCAGATCTGGGTTTTGTGATTTTCATTCGATAATTGCCTCGTTTGTTATTTCGGAAAATCAAAATCAGCTCAGGGAATATAAAGGAATTTTTTTTCAACTCCACTGAGACTATTACCGTTGTATTTGGCTAGTTTGCCGTGGATGATTTTGGTCTTTTAGGTGTTAAATGATGAAAATTTCTTGGGTTTCTTATATTTTCTCAGAAAACAAACAGTGCATTGGGTTCAGTTTGCCTGAATGGAAGATATTTCCGAAAGGAAGAATTACCCCACCGAAATTATTAGCTTTGTTTTTGGGAATGTAGGTGTGCATGTTTTTGGGTTTCCTTTTTTTCTTAGATTTTCTCGGGAAACAAACCGGGCATCGGGCACAGTTTGATCAATTGGAAGATATTTCCGGAAGGAAGAATTACCCCCACCGAGACGATTAGCTTTGTATTTGGGAATGTAGGTGTATTTTTAGGTGTCAAAAGATGGAAATTTTTACGTTTCTTGGATTTTCTCAGCAACAAAATAGAGCATTGGGCTCAGTTTTTCCCAAAATGAAAGACATTTTCTCAAGGAGAACTTAATTCCTGGGTAAACAAATTTTTTATTTCGCGAAACCCAATTGAAGAGCTTGATTTACTATATCACAAGCTGTACATTTAGCTTTGGTTTTGTTTGATACCAACGTTTATTTTTGGGTTCTCTGAGTCCATAGTTTCCTCTCTTTTTTGTGTACAGCTCTTGGGACGCGTTCCCCTTTTGAACGCTTTCTAGTACATTTTACTTATAAAAAAAAAAAAAAAATACAGTAACTTAAAAAATGGAAAGGGGTGATTTCTGATTGTTCTTTTTACGATGTAGATCTTCGTGTGGGAGAAATTTCTGCTTAGTTATTGAGTAGACTGGAGTTTAATATAATCTCTTCATTGGGGTTCTCTCCTTTTGATCACTCTTGAAATCACTTAAGCTATCACATCACATAAATGACTTGTGCTTATCATCAGTGTATGAGGCTCACAACCTACGGCTTAAGATTGCAGCAATCTATTGATCTAATTATTCCAGCTGAAAATTGAGTTTAGGAGAAAAGAACCTTTTATTTTCATTGTGAAAAATTCTAATATTAATTTTTTTGGTCTCAACCCTAAACTCTTCTTCAAGCCTTATGCCAACTGCATGAGGTTGGTTTTTAATCTATAAAAAAATGCATGTTAGGCAAATTGTAATAACAAGGTGCATGCTCTGTCTAGTTGCCATGTAAATTTACTGATTGTTATGCATGTATTGTTTGTTTCTGTAGGTGTCATATGATTAAAAATCTCATTTTGCTTTTCGGTAGAATTTCTCAGTAACCAACTGGAGCATTTAGGTTGTTAATACTTATGGAAAATGTTTTCTAAGACATCAAAAAATTAATTCTAGTTGTAATAACTAAAGAGGTCTTCCAGTGGGGGTTCAAGTTCGTGATTTCTGGAGGGTTACACCTTTATGTGTTTGGTGGTGCATTTGGCTTGAGAGAAATTGGAGATCTTTCGAAGGAAAGGAAAATCCCATTGGGTCTTTGAAGTCCTCCATTATTAGCACCCTTTTTTGTTGGGTTCTTGAGAGAAACTGTAAATTCATAGAGGAGTTTGTTGATCTTTTGGATTCTTTGAGGGTTTAGAGGTCCTTTCTGGCCTTTTTTGTAGCTTTGGAGGGACGTGTTCCCCTTTTGATGCTCTTTAATACATTATTTCCTTATCAAAAAAATAAAAATAAAAAGAAAATTAAAAATAAAACTAAAAGGGGCTTGACAAATTTTTGTACTTCACAAACTGCCCATTGATTTTGTGTTTGTTTGATACTAAGCTTTACTGTTACCTTATTGTTTAATAGATACCAGTTGATTGAAAAAATGCCAAAGCACAAAAAAGTACTTAATAGTCATGGATCAAATGATCAAAGCGTGTGTCTAACTCTGATAAACAGAAAAACATCTGGATTTTATTGATTTTCTCCACTTACCTGGTGGCCGGTGTTTTGGAAAAAGTAAAAACTTCCTGACTATTTATTTATCAAAAAAAAAAAAAAAAAAAAATTTCCTGACTATTTGACAGAATTTATTTGGAGCTGGACACCCTCAGTTTAGGTCATTTTGTGTGCTGCTTTCAAAATTTGAAGACTCCCACTTCAAATAGGTAGCATTTTTGAAATTATAATTGTAGATTGTTAGTTTCAAATTTCAATAAAATTTGTCGAGCTATGTTTATGGTCCAGTAGCAAATGTAGAACTAACTATAAAGTTCATAATGCGTTCGCTTGCCATGTGAATTGTCAAACTTATGTTAGTTTCTATAATATTTACCGTTTTCTATTATATTGTCATATTCCATAAATACATCCATGCTTCAACTTCACTGGTTACTAATAACGAGTCTATATATATGTTTGTGGTGGTGTATACAAATCAGAGTCTTATTCTTATAAAAAGAAATTATTTCTGTTGCTCAACCTATATAGCCCTTTGAGACAAATGCAGTGTCATGTGGAAGTTTGTCTGGCCACTCATGCTTTCTTAGTTCTGCAAAAGTTCACTTAATAACTCAGTGAAAAAATGAGCCAAAACCAATTGTTATTGTTGTCATTCAATACCTGACAAAGAAGTTGTTTACCTATCAATTTATATAGAGATTTTACAGATTAGATCATCAACTTGACTTAACGCACCCTTTTATTGCTAACTATGGATTAAACTAGTAAAAGAAGGTACTGCAATTAGGACGTTATGAAATGCATTTTGTGTTATGAGAAGAGTAAAGCTTCAGGATCTGAGTAAGATTAAACTTGGAAGTATAAGATGGTGATGCAGATGTTCAAGAGGTTGATCTCAATAGAGCATGTAGACAACTTTTTTGTTTATTGAAGTTTTTACTAGTTAAGTCACTGAATGTTCTTTGTTAAGAGTCTTTCCTACTGTTTTTGCCCACAGCACATGATCACTTAAGTTTTTGAAAGTTGTATATGTAAATGATACATAATGTTAGATGATTCTCCAAGTTAACCACCCTTGTAGAGAAATGGTAAAACTGATGATGTTGCATATGGAATTACATTTTTTTCAATGGTATTATTTGCAGCCCGGTCAGAGCCATATATACGTCTGCTCCCGCTGAATTTTTGTTACTCTAATTTTCTATACACATTTCCTTATAATTGTGAACATGCCCCAACTCAAAATTGTCTTAAAAATAATTTGTTTGAGGGTTCTCAACAATTTTTTCTGTCAAAATTTCCTTTTTTCTTTCTCAAATTCTCTATGCCCCTCATTTTCACGACCCACGCCAAGTTCATCTCTTTGATTCCGGCCATCACTCTCTCTCTTTTACTCCCATCTCACTGAAACCAAAAGCACAAAGTAGAGTAATTACAAAAATATTTTCAGTAAGTTTCAAAAACCCTAAGCCGGTGCAAGAAACTTGAAGGGAGGAAACATCAAGATTTGAACTTAAATATTATCCACTCCATTATTTTGGTTCAAAAAATAAATAAATTCTTATTGATTGCCCCCGCTGAATTGAATTTCCGGCTCTGCCACTGCATGCAGGTGATTGATATGCTGCTCTTTAAAGCAATGGAAGAGCTGAACAATATTGTGGAGCATGCGAAGCAGAGGCACCACATCATCGGCCAATATGTGGTGGGTAATCATGGGCTTGTGCAGGATGTGGGCACTAAGGATCAGGGCGCTTCCGATTTCCTAAAGAATTTCTACAAGACCAACTACTTCTGAACCTTATTTGCTGGTGAAGCTCTCTTTGGATTTCGCTTTTGGTTGTAGAATTCCGAAATAACGATGAACTTGAATCAGTTTATGTACCTCCCTGTTGGATAAAGGTCCCTTTGTTCTTCTTCTAAGGTCATTGTGTTGGAACAAGATGTTCATTTCTAAAGAAGCTATTTTGGTTATCAGAATATAACGTCGAGAAATTGGGCATTTTATTGCTTTATGATGAAGCATGTAGCTTTCTGTGCTGTTGCTTAATAAGATCAAATTCAATGAGATGATTGAGTTTTGTAAATCCAATTTGATGTTTATTTTCTTGACAGAAGTGTTCTTATTTGTGTTTGAAACCTCTTTTAGAATTCCTTTTTTACTATACTTAATTTTGTCAAATTGCAATAGAGACATCTTAATCCAAGCTGATATCCAAATTTGACTTATGTAGTGATACTCCAAGTGACACAGAGATGCAAATGATATGGATAAACTGAATGAGATAGAAATAACAACTACTATGCTATTCACTCTTTCTAAATGTAATGGCTAGTCATCGGTTAATTTAAAAAGATAGGCCATAAATCTCATATTTAATCCTTTCTCAAATATACAAATTAATTTGACCGTTGGAGTGCACTTGGTCGGCTTCACATTAGCATTTACCAAGATGGTTGGCAAGATATTAATATATAAAAGTTGAGAAATTATGAATGTGCATAATGTGGTTGGCAACATATTAGTATATAAAAGTTGAGAAATTATGAATGTGCATGATGTGAATGGAAAGATATTCGAAGTTAAGAGAATTAGTGCTCTACATGTTTTGTTACTGGTTCGAAAACTAATGGTAAAAAAAATAAAAATAAATAGAACATGTTTTTAATGAGATTGGAACTCTCAAATCTTGTATTTGAAGAGGAAGGATGGTACCATTGTACCAGAGGTCCGGTCACGTCTACATTAATGTTTGTTTATTAAATTTTAGGTAATGTGACTCTCATGATGCAATTTAGGGCTCAAATGGAGGTTGAAAGTGTCAAATAGAGATGAAAGGTTAAAATGTATTTAGGTGTAAAGTTGAAATTGAGAATTCTTAAAACCGCATCGAAGTACATGTGACATGTACAGTATGTTTTATGTAACTATTTTTTCTTAAACAATTTTATCCTTTTTTATACTTTTGTAGAGTGAATTTCAACTATTCTTTTTTGAAGTTGCTATATCCTTTTAATTTAAAAGAATATTATTGTAAAATTAGCAATACAAGTATTTTAAAAAATATTATTACAAAATAAATTTAAAAATAATTTAATTTATGAAAATTATTATAATAATGTCACCAAACATGTTTTTCACCCAAACAAAGTTTTAATAATTCTAATGAAAGCATTTTTTATTCTAACACCAAAGCAAACAAGCAGTTAGGGGGATAAAAGGTAAAGGAAGAGGAGAGAGGCTACCTTAACCCAAAAAAAAAAAAAAGTAATGGAATAATTTTCCTTATGTTTCTAAAGATTCAATTTTTTTTTTTTTTTTAAGTAGTGTGTTTTGATTTTCCATTCGATTTTATTTAGCATTTAAGTACCATTTTGGCAGTAATATTAGTACATTTTCCATCACAAAAGTTTATATTATTTAACTAAAATACCAAGATTGTTCAAAAAATATCAGTAAAAGCCCATAAAATGTACCCAAAAAAAAAACTCAATAATTTCTACTCTCAAATATTTTCTTTCCATTTTTTCCCAGGACCCATTATTAACCAATTCTTTTTTAAAACTTTCATGATTTTCTATAACATAATTTTCTTTAATTTTACAGAGTTTGTTATTTTTTTTTTTTTGGTTGGCACCAAGAACTCCCTAAGTAAAACAATTTTACGAGTTTTGAACTAACGTAATCAATGTATTCACCACGATTGTTCAAAATTGATATAAAGTTTATTTATATAGTATTTACTATATACATATATTTTTATAATTATATTATTGTTCTTATTTTATGCATTCATTAAAATAGATATATGTACGGGACAATCTTACCCTTAGCAACTGATAACCCTAACCGCGAAAACAAAAGGCCCCTACTTTATACATGTGCAACCTTTCTGGGATCAAATGAAATAAAACTCAAATTCAATGTTTTGAAGGCATTCAATTCCTTATATCAATCAGAAATTTCAATCTAGTGTTTTCTTCAATGGCTTCGTCCAAGAGAAATCACAAGGAGAAGATAATTCGTCGCAAGTATGTATTTTTTTAGACTTACCTACTTTTTTTTTTGGTTCTTCTGTTTGATCTGAAATCGGATTATACATGCCAGCTGATTGACCGAAACTAGGGCACGAATTTGGTGAGATTAATGTGTGATGCCCCTGTGTGTGGTTGAGTGAATGAGTGTGTGTAATTGGTAAATTAGGTGAAGATACCTCAGAGGATGGAAGCTTGTCAGGGTCTTAGCTGGCGTGGATTGGGATCTATATTAGCTAAACTAATGGTTACTTCTAAATATCATCTATGTGTACGAATATGGGTAACTGTGGTTCACGTTGATACATATTTTTTTGTTTCATTTTCTTAATTATTGAATTTGGTTCTGTTCTGATTTGTGTTGAAGTTTGATTCTTTCAATGGTGTTTCTGTGCACATATTGATGGAATATATCTATCAAATATATATATATATCGAATACCGTATGTTTCTATGTAAATAGAGTGGAATAGAAACATAAGATTCATGTATGCAACCCCAAGTAGTTGGGAAAAGGTTTGGTTGCTGTTGTTGTATTGCGAGAGTAGTTGAAATGGATTATCTGTTGTGCAGAGAGGAGAAGGTTGAAGCGCCAGAAGAACCGAAATATCGAGATCGAGCTAAGGAGCGTAGAGAAGATCAGAATCCCGATTATGAATCTACAGAACTGGGCTCTTTTCATGCAGTAGCTCCTCCTGGGACTGTTGATATCCGGTATCTTTATCTCTATTTATTTATTTTTCTGTGAAGCTGTAAGATTATAGATTGAATTATATGTATTAACCACTATAGTGCCAACTTTTTGTAGGGCTGCTGAAGCACACAAGATATCCATCGAAAAAAGCAAGTACCTTGGGGGTATGTATTCTGATAACGAAATGATTTGCCTTTTTTTTGCATGAAATTTTAATGTCTTCTATAATTTTAAGCGATTCCTTCTGTCTTACATATTAAAATATTGAACTCCTTTTACTTATCAAAATATATATATATATATATATATATATATATATAGAGAGAGAGAGAGAGAGAGAGAGAGAACTCCTTTTGTTTTTCTTTTTCCTATAAATGACATTATGGTACTTAGTCATTGCAGTCTTAGTAGCTAGACATCTGAAGTTAGCAAAGCCTACCACTTGTGTTGTGGATTATGATTATTGTGATATTTGACTATGAAATGGCATTGTTTTCTCATCAGGTGATGTGGAGCACACACATTTGGTTAAAGGCTTGGATTATGCTTTGCTTCACAAGGTGAGAAGTGAGATTGACAAGAAGCCAGATGTGGGAGATGATGATGATGGAAAGTCAAGGTATATGAGTTCAAATTAGAAGTTCATATTTGTGAAACATTGCTTTTTATATGTACATGTCTTGTTATCAAGTTCAAAAGCTTCAATTTAAAAGTTTTCTTTTGCAGCTATCAGCCTGAATATTTTAATTTTATGTCACTCTTATTTTTGGATTAATAAATATGAAAATATCTACAAGAGAAGGAAATAAGCTAGTCTATTGAGGTCACGACTGAAGAAATTCTTGGATCCAATGCCCTTTAAGCCCTGAAAATTATGGATAGTAACTAGTTTTGGAGTCAAATGACAGAGGAAAGGGTTAAGCTTGATTTAGACTAGGTATAGTAGAGTTTTGGACAAACAAAGAACTGTCTTTGGGTTGTGAACGGTTAGGTGATAACTGATATGGAAAGAGTGATTTAAAGAGAGAAAGAATTGGAACCTCCTAGAACAATGATGGAACTAGGAAAGGAAGAGAAAACTAGGAACACAGCTAGAACCTTAGGAGTCACCCTGAGGCGAGATTACATTAGTCATCACAGACAGCTTATTAAAATTATGAATGTCTGATGTGTCATTAGAAGTTTGAATAGTGTTCTATATGTTGCTGGTTACAACTAGCTCAACTATGACTATAGCTCAAAAATAGGAAAGAGCACCCTTTCAAGCCTACCCACTTATTTTCTCTCTCTATTCCAGATTCCCTCTTCTGTGGCTGAGAGAATTGAGAGATTGCAGCGGAATTTTCTGTGGAGGGCTGTGGAGGAGGAGTTCAAGTAACATCTAGTTCGCTCGGAGCAGGTTTGCAGTCCAATCCAGGATGGAGGTTTGGGTTTTAGAAGATTTGTGCCTTTTTATAAGGCTCTTCTTGGGAAGTGACTTTGGAGGTTTGGGGTGGAGAGGCATAGGCTTTGGAGGAGGGTGGTAGCGAGTAGATTTGGGGAGGGGACAGGAGGGTGGTGCTCTCTTGAGGGACGTTTTCCAAGGGGTGTGGGGGTTTGGAAACTCATTCGGAAATGGTGGGAAGGATTCTCTAAACACATTAGATTTCGACTCAAGGATGGTAGGAGGATGAGTTTTTGGGAGGATGTTTAGTGTAGTGACCGCTCTCTTGCTCTAGCTTTCCCCCGGCTCTTCAGGATTGCCACGGATAGGCAAGCCATGGTGGTCAACTGTTATCGTTTTGATAGTGGAAGATCGTCTTGGGATGTTTGTTTCAAAAGGCACTTTCAGGATTGGGAAATTGATGATGCCATTGGTTTTTTGGAGTTGTTGTATCGTCAGGAGATCACGGGTGGTGTTTCTGATTGTCGGGTTTGGGTCCCTGCATCTCAGGGTCGGTTTGATGTTCGGTCCTTCTATAGGTGTCTTACGGAGGAGTCTGGGGCTTCCTTCCCGTGGAAGGCTGTTTGGCAATCTAGGGCTCCCCTCAAGGTGGCCTTTGCTTGAAAATCTGTTTTGGGGAAGATTTTGACCCAGGATAATTTAAGGAGAAGGACTCAAGTTGTGGTCAACTGTTGTTGCATGTGTCTTCGTGATGAGGAGACGGTGGATCACCTCCTTTTGCATTGCACCATAGCTAGAGATTGTTGGGATTTGATGCTTGGTTTGTTTAGAGTTCTATGGGTCATGCCCAAATCCCCCAGAGGATTGATTGAGTCTTGGAGAGATTGTATAGTAGGGGGCCAAGTCCGGGATGTTTGGAGGGTTACGCCTTTGCGCGTCTAGTGGTGTATTTGGCTCGAGAGGAACAAAAGATCTTTCGAAGGAAAGTAGAATCCTATTTCTATGCTTAAGTTCTCTATTATTTGTACTTTTTTGTTGGGTTGTAGGGAGATATTATAGATCTTTAGAGGAGATTGTCGGTTTTTTGGGCTCTTTGAATGTCTAGAGGCCCTATTTGGCCTTGTGTAGTTCTTTTGGGAGGCGCTCCCCTTTTGAGTGCTTTTGTACAATTTTACTTATTAAAAAAAAATTGCACAAAAATATGGTGTTAATGTAAAACCTGTGATTCGCCTATTTTCTAATTAGTATACTTTGCATCAAATGTGGGAAAACCTGCTATATCAGGCTTTGTTTGTTCATATTTGTTAGAATACATCAATGTAACTGTAGACATTTTAATTTCAAAAAGAAAAAGTAAAAGATTTTGGAAATCATGAAACTCCTGTATTCTTCCTTTATATGGGAAATGTTTGAGAAAATAACAGGAATGCTGTAATAGTACACATATTCCCCTTATACTTTCATTAAAATTCCCTCTGACCCATCTCAGTAGCATGTGCTTCTCATTTTGTAATATCCCATAATGCATGTTCATTTTGGAAAGTCAATTATCAAATTTTGTGTCATTCTCAATCCACCCTTGAAAGGTAAAGTTGAATCTTTTTTTGAAAATCGTCTTACAACTGAATCTTTAAATTGTTGGAGGTTATTTAAAAATTTTGAGCTTTTCTAGTAGTCTTTGTGCATTAAATGCTGTTTCCTTAGAAAGTTGGATTTCAGAAGATAACACCTTTTACAGGATAGATGCAGCACTTAAGGGTAGTCACATAAATTATTCTTACCCATAATAATTATAATATTATTGTCATAATATCCTTGTTAAGGCTAGATTTATTAATTGTTTACATTAACACATTTTTTTTGGTCCAACAGAGCTTCCAAGGAAGACCAGCCGGTGTCATTTCGCACTGCAACTGCAAAGGTGCTTTAACTTTTTGAGAATATCTAGAGCTAAGAAATAGTATCTGTTGTACTTATCAAAAAAAAAAGAAAAAGTAAAAAAGAAATAGTATCTGTTACTGTTAGTTTTTAGCTATTCAAATTTTCTAATTATGTATTTTCCTGTTGCAGTCTGTGTATCAATGGATTGTCAAGCCCCAAACGGTCATCAAGTCAAATGAGATGTTCCTCCCTGGTCGAATGGCTTTTATTTTTAACATGGCAAGATTTTTAATTCATCTATGTTATACAATTAAAAGTTTTCTCCCTGTTTTCTCCTCCATCAGAGATATTTGGCAACCAAATGGCCTTCTGGGAAGTCCTAGAATTGGTTAAACTGATTATAAGATCAAATTCTTCGCTTTTTGCTTTTTTTGTGTTTTGGGGGGGGGGGGGGGGGGGGGGGGGGCGGGCTACTTGCATTGTGTGTTTGACCTTTGAACCGGAAAGCTGGTATTTTTCCATGGTTGAATTTTTTAACCCATTTGGTTTTAGTTACCATACATGTCATAATGTCATTTTATTTGCGCACCGAGGTTGGCTTCTCTGAAATGAAACTCGGTTTGAGTTTAATTTGGATCACCTGGGTGCAGTTTGAACAAGTAGTCTTGATCCAATCTTCAGTTAAGGTTGGACACGATCATTTAGACACAGACAAATTTATCAGTGCTCCTATATTCACGACCGTGCAGTTCTGCTTGGAACTCGTGCAGGCTCAATAAAAGCTGGTCTCCTTGTAAGTCGTATCTTTGAACCACCATATAGTGCCAATTGTTGCAGATGGTATGGAAAACATTTGCATTTAGTGCTGAAATTTGGAATGATCTCGGATGGACTATTCAGCTGGCTTGACACTAAGCTGACTTGGGTGTTAAATTTTAGGCACATTCAGTTGGACCTGAAGTTGAAGGTGTTGAAGGAGTTGAAGGAGTTATATATTTAAGTTACACCCTCTCTAACAGCTTAAGCTTTTGGAGTAGATAATTGTTAACATGGTATCAGAGCCAAAGGTCTCGAGTTCAAACCTCACCGTCACCCTAATTTAAAATTGAAAAACACGTGAGGGGGCATGTTGAAGGATTTATATATTTAAGTTACACCCTCTCTAACAGCTTAAGCTTTTAGAGTGGATGGTAGTTAACAGAAGGTCCATATAACTTTCTGAAGAATGATATTAGAAATTTAAGCAGCACATTCCAGTCAAATGATGGTCAATCAGTGTCCATTTATGGATGCATTAGTATTTTTAACACTTGGATTAATCCTAATTAACAATCCCTTCTGTGGTTAAGTTTGAGGTTTGTTTGGATAGGTTGAGTTGTATTCATCTCAATCAATAAATCAGTAAAAGAAAATCTCAATCAATGTATGAATTGTGCTCTATTAATATTATTTTTTTGTTTTATAGAATACTGATCCTGAGAATAGCCATTCCCATGATATCCCAACCACTCTACATAGAAGTAAAGCTGATTGCCCAGTCCCAGAGGTTTGTTTTTTTATTGATTTCCTCCAAATAATTTTCTTTAATTTTGTACCTCTTATCTGATTTTGTTTATTATTTGTTGCACAGGAAATGGTTACCGTCAGTGTTGATGGTTCTGTGCTGGATCGAATTGCTAAAATTATGTCATATCTTCGCCTTGGATCATCGGGAAAGGTTCTCAAAAAGAAGAAGAAAGAAAGAGATGTGAAGGGTATTCCCTAAATACCCATTATCTTATCAGCACTTGCTGGTTACTGTCACTGTAATGTTATGCTTTCATGATTTATCATATAATTTTGGGATAGTTGGGGCATGATTTTAGGGTTGTTTGGGGTCCAGCGGGTTATGCCTTAGTCCTCTAGAGGCATGATTGAGGCTTGAAGAGGTTGTACAATGGGCTCCCAAGCCTGTGACTTTTGGAGGGTGGCACCCTTGTGTATTTGGTGGTGTCTGTGGAAGGAACGAAATAGGAGATCTTTTGATGCCGAGAAGACTCCTATTGGGGCGCTGAAATTCTCTATAATTAGCTCTCTTTTTTGTTTGGTCATTGGGAGGAATTGTAAATCAATGGGGGATATTGTTGATACTTTGGATATATTGAGAGTTTAGGGGCCCCATTTGGCCCTTGTGGAGCTTTTGGCTGCATTCCCCGTTTGATACATTTTTTTTAAAAGCATTTTAGCTCATTTGTACTATAGTACATTAATAAAACATTATTTGGGTGATGTAAAGAGATATGCGCGATATAGTCTCTCAGATTAGCTTGAATATGTCTGCCTAACAAACTGTTGTCATATCAAATCCTTCTCAAATGGGAAGGTCTGTAGTGACACTAGTGAATTAATTCAATTCTTTTCAAGGATAAGTAATGTAAAAGAATTCATTGGAATATTTATTTGGTGCATGTGCTGCACTATTATGAAATGTGACAGCACTTTGGAATTCTATCTATTTTATAAAAAATTAAAAAATAAAATTATTTAAAAAAAAAGAAAGAAAAAGAGACGAATCTGCTATTTATGCATTATAGTGTTATTTAATTTTTTTTTGTAATCAATGTAGTTCCCTTTTTTCCTTGCTTTAGGTAAGGTCATTTTGCTTCATTGTCTCCAGTTTCTATATGTGTGTAACAAAATTTGTCAAACTGTACAGGGAAGATATCAGCCATTGCCAATGAATATGATGAAGATGAAAAGGTGTCAAAGCCTAATGGTGGAATGTCAATGAATCAAATCGATAGAGAAGTTCTCCCACCACCTCCCCCGCCTCCCAGAAAGAGTCATCCTGATTCAAAAGAGAAGCAAGGACCAGTTGTTGCTCGAACTGATGAGGACGACATATTTGTGGGAGAGGGCATTGATTATGATATTCCCAGTAAAGATATGAGCCAAAGCCCTATCTCAGAGGACATGGAAGAATCCCCTCGAAATAAGGATAAAATTCCCTATTTCAGTGAACCTGTTTATGGTCCAGTTCCCCCTTCCGAGCCCACCCATGATTGGCAACAAATGGTGTGTGAAGTTTTTGCTTTCTAAATTTTAAAAAAATAAATAAAAAGAAAGGAGAAAGAGAAGACTACTCTGATTTTGTGCTGTAAAACACAGTTTAGAAATGCAAAGATTTGGGGAGAAGTAACAGAAGCTAATTTTTCATTGCTACATGAGAATTTGTATAGAATTTATTTATTTCGTTATTTGTTTTTCTGAACTTGCCCATTTTGACCTTGTTCAGAATGGATATGATGCTATGCAAGCACAAGCACTAGTGGGCGGCTATCAGGGAGAGTGGCAGGACTATCAATATGCCGAGCAGCTGGCTTATTCTGAACAATACCTTCAGCAGAACATGGAGGCTTATGATGTACAAACAGCTTTGAACATGCAACAGGACCCACGCTTCATGACTCAAGAAGAGAAGGATCGGGGTTTAGGGTCAGTGTTCAAGCGGGATGATTCGAGGCTCCAACAACTGAGGGAGAAAGATGCTCGTGAGAAGGATCCTAATTTCATATCTGAGAGTTATTCTGAATGCTATCCTGGGTATCAAGAATATAACCGTGAGGTTGTGGACAGTGACGATGAAGATGATTTATCAAAAATGGATATGGGTGGACGGGTAAGCGTCTCTTTGTTCTTACTAATTACTTAATATGCCTGATGCTTTTATCGTGACAAATTTGCTTTTATATAGTATAATATGGCATGGACTAACAAATTCTTACATGGATAACGGACATTGACTTGTTAAAAAGCACCGTATAGTTGTGTTTTAAACTCTGGTGGGAAGTGTGTTTGGCTAATGAGAATGATACATTCAACAGGCAAAGGGCCGTCTTCATCGGTGGGACTTTGAGACGGAGGAGGAATGGGCGACATACAATGAGCAGAAGGAAGCAATGCCAAAGGCTGCATTCCAGTTTGGCGTGAAGATGCAGGATGGTCGTAAGACACGAAAGCAGAACAAAGACCAGAAGATTACCAACGAGTTGCACAAGATTAACAAGATACTTGCCAGAAAGAAGATGGAGAAGGGTGAAATAAACGACGACGATGGGTTGCATGATGATGACTCGCATCCCGGGAAGAAGCTTCGAATATGAAGTGATTCTACTGTTAATGTTATATTATCATTTTCGTGTACACATTAAAATTGACAATTAGGCGTGCCAGAACAACATTTGGTTAGGCATTTTGTCAACCGTGATTGTAGGCTTGGAGAAGGATAAAGTTTGATGTGAGTTCTTAGACTAAAGTGATTATCGACTCCCTATTTTCTCTTTTGTACTCCCTGGTCTAAGTTCTCTCTGTCCTCTCTATTCATTTCCTTTTCCTTTGTGAGACTAGTAGTGTGTGGTACAATGGTAGGTTATTATGGCATACAATTTGACAGTGGGTCAGTGGGCCCATCAACTAGCAAATATAACTTCTTTTTTGTTTTTTTAAACGCTTTTTACATATAAGTTGTGCACACACTAATGAGTATTTAGAGATAAAACTTGTCTTAAAAAATGTGTTTTAAGAGACCACCTCAATTGCCTCTAGGTGGAGCAACTGTACCAAGATTTACTGTGACCAATTAAAATGATGAACAAATTTATTGTTATTTTCAAGTTAAACATTCTTGGAAGAATCAATATAATTTGAGGAAAAATGAATAAATATGATAATTTTCTCAAACTAATGCAGTTAGAAGGTTATATGGAGTTGCATTGAAAATGATGAGACTTATCTCACTTCCCACCATTTCAAAGGGTTCAATCATTTTTTGTTATAAAACCAAGTTCAGCTAAACACTTCACATTTTCTGCTGGAGAGCTCATACGGTTTCGAAATGACATTGGTGTAGTCCAGTCAGGAAAAGTCATTCTAAATCACTGCAGTGGGGAGAAAAGCTCACTAACATAACTTGTTACACTTTTTTTCCCCCCAAAATTCAAGCAAAATGTACATACGCCCACAACATTGTCCGAAAACACGCTTTCATAGCAAAAAAGATAAACCAAGGGTAGCAAATTCCCTAATTTTGTTATGATCTCCTGCTTCCCGGGAAAAACAGAAATACAATCAAAAGAGACCAGAACAGAATTAAACGGTTAGAAAATAAATTAGTGGATTTGATCTTGCTAATAACCACCTATCAAAATCATTCTGGTTTTGCCACTATCTAAAATAAAATTTAAAGAAAAACACATGTACATTTTCATCAAACATCATTTCTACAACGACAACAAGAACTCCATGATTGTATGATTACTGGATACAACATCGGTATTGATGAGTACACTGATAATCTACAACACAGGAAAAATAAATAATTAACTAAGAAGAAAACATAACCATGTCAATAGAACAAGCTGACCCTTGTGCCAGATCCAAAGTCATCTATGCCACTAAAACTCCGAGCAAGGCCTATAATCTTACAGGTGAAGTTGAAAAGCTTTTCATTCCTTCGGACGAGCAAGCCAAAGGGAACTAAGTGCACGAAGTCTGGAGAAATAGTCATGTATTGCAAGGAGTGCACGAGCTGATTGGCGGGTTGTCAATATACGGTGCATTTGTTGCAGTGTTTGCTGTCGCAGATTGTCAGCCTGAATCACCCAAAGAAAAACACTTTCTAAGAGACTATATGGCAAATAGGGTTTTTTTCAATGGCAATGAAGACATCATTCAACAGTTCCATGAATTTTCCATGATGTTTTGTTATTTGTTTTCATGTTTTCCTTTCTATTTCTGTTTTTTCCTTTCTATGATGAGAGGGTTTCAGTGGAGACTAACTATTGGAGCACACGTCAATCCCAAGGCAAGCATTCCAGGAAAGTCCCGGTGCGCTTCAAATCTGAAACATCCACCTTGCAAGCATAGTCGTGCTACCAACTGCTCTAACCACTTGGGAGTATAGTTTTTCAAACTATAACTCCAGATGAGACAGAACATGATATTTCATCTTCTACTCCCCACCATCCCCCTCCACACCACACCGCCCCCAACCCTAAATCTCCTCCTTTGGATCTGTCCTCACACCTCTACATATCATTGTTTTTGCCGTAATTGCATTCACTATAGAACATTCCAGCAATTTCTGTATAGGAAAACAGAGGGAAAATGTTTCCTAGGCAATGTGAAACAACTTCTAAAAAATTATTCCCAGGCGTCCAAGGAATTATACATAAAATTATATTACTCATGAATCGATCATTGAGAGAGAGAGAGAGAGAAGAGGAAGGGGGGTTGGGGGAGGCTTTATATTACAAAGTTTCAAGACTTCCAACATTTCTTTTCAGATTTGAATCACTTAAAAAAAGATTTACACATGCTGCACCAAAGGTTGGATTTTCCACATAAACTTTGCAAATATTTTGAAGCGTGTCAAGATTTATTTCCTTTCAAACAGAATTAATGTCGACTTAGATTTCAAACTTTTAATTGAGATCCCCACATACTCAACTCAACTCAGACTCGACTCAAGTCAACAAAGCCTTTTTCCAAACTACATGGGGAATAAAACTCAAAGGCAGTATCATTTGCAGTACAAACAAATTTAAGTTCAACATTTAAGTGCAATGAGAATCTAAAGAAGAACCTGGTGAATAAATCCTTCAAGAGTCCCTAGCTTTCCCATGGCCATTGCCATTTGACCCATGTAGTTTGCAACATTCCCAGATGAACCCGAGGAGCCAAGAGATCCACTAGAAAGTGTCTCAGACAGGGATTGCTGCAATGCCTCCATACCCTGGGACAATGCATCTTCTGCCTGCTGAGATGATTGCTGCAAGTTCCCAATGGCCATCAATTGCTGCTCTGTTAGAGGCTCCAATTGGTTCACAAGAAGCTGCACACAAACCAATTAATTTCAACGAGCTGAAATCTAATAAAAAACACATATACCTAAATATTTATCCAAATACTTGTAAGAAAACTGTTGATTTAAACATCAATTGATGCTGAACTAGAGATTAAATAAGACATCATATCATGATGAAAAAGACAACACATGAAATGAACATCAAACTTGGATTCAGATGCTCGGTCACAAAGCACAACTCTAGTTCCAAACAGCTGCACTTCTTCACACCAAAAGTGTACACATCCAAACCATAAAAAGCGTATGGCCAGAAGAGCAGATGCATTATAGATACATGTAATGCTGTGGCCAGAATTTTGTTTCGGCCAGGGTCACGTTGCAAACCGGTTTCAACCTGATATCGGCTTTGACCAAATTTCTCTTCCGGGGTCATGGACATGGTTCTAGAAATCTCTTGTAGCCCACTATGTAAGGGTGTTTAGGGTTCAAGGCGTGTCACAAGAGAGCACTGAAAATCACAGGGAAAAGAGTGAGAGAGCGCTAAGGTTTGAGGACTGAAACTCATAATCTCCTGATTTTCACACAGTGAAATCTTTTGCCGGATCTTCACCATCGACGGTAGGCTTACACAGAACCACGTAAATCCTCATGTTCTTTGTGTGTGTGGCGTGTTTACTTTTCTATCGTGATTCTTGATTTGTTCTTGGTTCACGGTGTTTGTCGTAACAATATATTTGAGAGAGAATTATAAGCAGTGAAGGGCTATTCAACATTATGGTAGGAGGGAAGCAAAGGGGAGGGAGAAAAGAGAGAAGGAATGAAACAAGCCTCTATTGTTGGTTCAAGGAAGTGTTGGAAGGGGGAGGATGGATGGATGAGACATCACTCTTGGTCCCCCATTTCTATTCCTCCAAGGAAGATAGGAGGAAAGAGAAGGATAAGTATCATATATTATGTAAAGAAACATTATTATCCTTCATCAAATTTTGCCAAATTATATAATGAAGGGATAATATAATCATCTCCTTTTACTTCCTTCCACTCAACCAAACAAAGAGGAAGGGGATACCTTCCCTTCCTCAGGGATGCTTCATCCACCCTTCCTACCTCCTCTTCCACCTAATTTCCCATCCTTCCCACAAAAGGAAGCATAAGTGATTGAAAACAAAAGGATTACATGCTCAAAGTATCTGCCCATCAAAAGCATCCAAAGCAAACAACTTTGACAACTTGGGTATTAATGAAGTATAATTTCAGTGTTTTCAAACAAAGGAAAATCCAGAACCAGCTCAAAACCAGACGATCAAGATACAAACAACAACAGCAAAGTAATGATTAACTAGTACTAAGGACCCAAAATAAACTATAAAACACCCTAATCAAGTGCAGAATGAGATTCTAGAGAATTTAAAGCCGTAGTTATTGAGAAAAATAGAATATCCATCTGATTGGGATCACAGAAAATAATACTCCCTCCGTCCCAAAATAAATGTCCACCTTTCCATTTTTATCCGTCCCAACATAAATGTCCCATTTGAAAAGTCAATGTACTATTTTATGTAATATTACCAATTTAACCTTGCATTGAACCAATAATAAGTAAATCATCACATCACTGTGGACCCACTAGGGGTAAATTTGATAATTCATTCACTACTAATACAATAAAAATAATAATAAAAATCATTCTCTTGAAAATTAGATTTCCAAAAAGGGGCACTTATTTTGGGACGGATGGAGTAATAATATGGAAATTGACACACGGAACACTCTAAGAAAACAGTATTGCAAGTTTTAAACTAGCCAAAGCATTGCCGTCAATGCTATCAAGCCTAGACAGCTACAAGAACATGGAGGAAGTTCCCAGGTCCAATTGTTCGAACTTCCACTTTATGGGCCAAGAAAGATGTCAAATATTAAAAGGTGAAGGATGAAAATGAAGAAAAATATAACAGCTAAGAAAAAGAACCCAATAAAATTCTAATTTGGTGATGTATATTTAAATGATAATGCATATAACCCCAAGGGTTGGCTCAGGTGGGTAAGAACTTGCCAAAACTTGGCCCTGGTGCCTCAAAAAGAATCAGGTCTAAGGTTTCACAAATATTGAGTGCAACCAATTCCTTGGGGAGGGAGGGTGTGAGTATCAACTAAGAAAAAAATAATAATGCATATATATGATGTTTTATAGATATCCAAGATCAGGTTAGAAAAAGGTACCCAAGACCCTCAAACAATAACGTCCAGAAATCAGAAAATCCAACAACTTAAGGGTCCAAAATCCTAATATCTGCATTTTTGTTGGTTAATTAATAAAATAACATTATACATTTATGTATTTGAGTTTTTAACAGAGAAGAATCACTCCTTTTTAGATTAGCGACTGTCAGAAACAGTATATGCCTGTATTGATTTATAAATGGCATGTGCAGTCTAATAGCTTCGTGGAAGTAATTATGCACAAAATCAGAAGCCAGATTGAGGAACTAGAGAACCATTGGGTGTTCTGTCCATCCAATTTTCCAATTGCTTTTTACTCTTGCTCATTAATAAGGCAGTAATCTGTGCAACATTTCCGCTCCAAACCAGCACCCAACAAATTTTAAAAATATTGATTGTTGTATCAGAAAACTTGCACAAATAATAGCATTTTATCACAAGTTAAATTGCACCAAGTCCAAGGTACTACAACTGTGACAAAATTAAGAAAATACAAAAGCATAATTCCTACTACATTTCTTGTAGAAGATTCATTCTGTTGCAGCAAAACCCAGTGCACGAGGCTCCCGACATTGCGGGGTCTGGGGAGGGTTAGATGTACGTAGCCTTACCTCCGCATGCGGAGAGGCTGTTTCCTTGTTTCATTCTGTTGTATTCCACAATATTCTTCATATTATTTTGCATTTAGGCATTATCCAGAATTAACACTAACATAAAGAAACCATCAAAACAATCAAGACTACCTCACCTTGAGGAGTTCAGATGATCGAAAACCACCAAGCCACAGAAAACACCTCTCAGCAGGAGTTTTCCACATGCCCGACAATAAATGGAAAACATCAGCCTTTGCTGCAATGTCCTTTAGCCTGAAAATATCATCATAGTGTGCCATGACACCATCAACAATAATACGAAGTTCAGCATCACTGGCATGAGCATTGACAGCTGATCTCAGCTCATTAATTTGCCTGTTTTGGTCTTCCAACCACCGTGCATATTCTACATCAAATGCCATAGCCCCTGCAAAACAATTTGTCATAACAAGATAATCTTGTTATGGAGTGTTAACCACAAGAACTGAGGAACTGACAGAAACACAAGGATAGTGTAGTGTACTGGATGACATTGCATGCAGTGACCTGGGGAACTACTATACCTCACTCCCAAAAGAAATCCATGATATTGAAAGCTTGGTAAAAGGGAAGATAAAGAAGAAAGTGGGAATACCGTTTCCACTCATTGAATGGGCTTGATCTCCTGAGCTCGATATGAAGATTCCCTATAAAACAGAAGATAATAATTAGAAGATAAATAAAAGCTATACACACCTAAAAAAATGCTTAAAGAAAATGCTTAAAGAAAAGAAGACCTTCGATAATAGGCAATAGGGCAATAAAGAGTAACTAACACTAACCTGCTGTCTTGCTCGCTGGAGCTCCTGCTCTAGTTGAGTCAACTTAAGTCTGCTACTCTCTAGCTGCTGGACATATGCCTATGGGGAAAAAGGGAGTAGCATTCAATACAGGTAGATGATGCAATCAATAAGAGCTTAAAAATGAGACAAACAGGAGAGGTGATATTAAAAACGTGTTCAAGATTCTCATAAAACATGGTGTAATTCTTAAAAGATCACACAGAGGCAGCAAGAATGGAACAGTACATTCCAGTTCCAAGTGGTTGTACTATATGTATACTTAAAGACTTTTTCTTTTTCTTTTTGATAAATGTAAAATCGAGGAATTCTCGTCTGCAGTCTAACTTAAATGGGGCAGTCAATGCGGATTTGGGGCCAAAAAAATACACCAAGTATGAAAAACATGGTACTTCTGAGGCTTCACTAATACCAAACACAAATCTTAATTAAGGTCCAGTCTACGGCTATGCTAAGTGTAAGCCCAAACAAGAACTAGCCAATAGCTTCGTCTCACAAAAGGTAAATAGATGCAACAGCACTTGGATTGAGGCCTGAAATGAAGATCAACCAGGCTCGAGTCATAAACTCAGTCCTTAACCATGGAAAGCTTGTCACCCAACTCGGGATCAAGGCTGACTGGTGGGCCCACAAGGTGGCAAGCAGATTTGAAGAATTCCTTAGTCAGGAGTCAGGACGCCTCTCTCCAACAAGTGGGAAATCCTCATCCAGAAAGGCCCAGAGAAGAAGGGAATGTAGTCACCTAAGAAGCACGGACACTCCAAAATGGGCGAAGAATCCGTGTCCGACACGTGTCGGACATGGACACGCCCCGACACGTGTCGGACACGCCAAAAAACGTGTATGGAATTTTTTTATTTTTTTTAATTTTCGGACACGGCTTGGACACGGCTCGGACACGGCTTGGACACGGCTCAGACAGCTCGGACACGGCTCGGACACACTTTTCTGGATTTTTTTTTTTTTTTAATTTTTAATGCTGATATGTTAATTTTTTTTTTTTTAATTTTTAATGCTGATATGTTCTATTTTTTGTTTTGTACTACCCTAAGGATGGTGATATATATATATACTAACCTAAAGATGCCACAATTCGCCGTGTCCGTGTCCTAAAGATGCTGATATATATATATATACTAACATATCAGTGATATATATATATATTCCAACCTAAACATATCAGTGTTTTTTTTTTTTAAATTATTAATGCTGATATATATATATATATATATATATGTATACTATTCGCCGTGTCCGTGTCCTAATTTTTTTGGATTTGCCGTGTCGCTATGTCCGTGTCGTGTCGTATCCGTGTCCCGTATCCGTGTCCGTGCTTCTTAGGTAGTCACAATAAGAATAAGCTTCTGAAAAAGGTGGCAAATCTATGACCAACAAGGGGTCAAAACTGGTCATAATCCATATAAAGGCTTGGATAAATATGTTGGATTTGTCCTAAAGATTTATTGGGATCACATAGTGAAAAAGTAACCAAAACATGATAACTGCTCGTGATGAAAATGCACAGAATGGTTATGTTTAAAATATATATATACATTACAGACAAAGTATGCAAGTGATTTTACTGTCTGTTCCGTTTCATATGGGAAAATGAGAATGCTAGAATATTCCCGAACTAGGATGAGGTAATAAACTTCCGAACTGGGATGAGGTAATAGACTTGTGAGGGAACGATGATTCTACTCAAACAGTAGCTGAAACTGCTGCAAAAGCAGGTTTGGTAGTGAGAGATATTGAAGAATCCAATGGCTTTGTGGAAAATAAAACTTCAAAGATTTAGAAATCAGTCATGGCAACAAATTCTCTTCAATGCTTGCATGCAGGAAAAAGTAGCCCAATAGGCATGTAACTCTACTAATCCACCTCTTAAAGCAGATGTTTAGTTCACAATATACCTAAATCTAATAGGTGCATTACAACATATATTTTTAAGTAGTGTATGATCTCCTACTCTTTTAACTGCATTGAAAACTTTGTGATTTCTTTATGTGAGCTTGAGCTTAGTGATTACTATCATTATTAGATTTGTATATTTAGTGGGATACATAATATTTGGTATATCTTCTGATACTGAAAAGTAATTTAGTTGGAATATGCAGTATGTTATGCATTATATTTTGGAAGTATTTTTTCTTTTTTCTGATATCCTACCCTTTTCAAGTGCATTGAAACTTTGTGATTTCTTTATGCGAGCTTGGGCTTAGTGATTACTATCATTATTAGATTTGTTTATGTATTGGGATACATAATATTTGGTACGTCTTCTGATACTGAAAATTTATTTAGTTGGAATATGCAGTATGTTATGCATTATATCATGGAAGTATTTTCTTCTTTCTTTTCCCTTCTTTTTTTTTTTTTTTTGCTTGGTTGTGTTGCTAATCAAATTGTGGTTACAAGGAGACAAAAAGAGCAGACGTCTATTACAGAAGTTATAAAGCATATAGAAGTTAATATTTAAACAACTGGAGGTTACTATACGGTGTCTTGTATAATGCTTTATCAAAATTATAGTATATTATTGTATGTTTTTTTATGTGAAGTGAGAGCCTAACACCCATATAGGTGAGCGAGGCGGAAATGTGTTGCATGTGTCGTGTGTTGTATGATTTCAATATAGCATTGAACTCCATTTTCATAGAATGTTAACACATCTAAATAGCAAATTGCAAATCACAATCAAATTCTAGCATTTAGAGTTTTATCAAACCAACAGATTCTGCAAATCCTGGGTATTAAAAACAGTAGGTATATTGATAAATTTACAAATATTTCATCAAAACACACTATAAGTGAACCAATTAGAGAGGGCACGGGCCTCGTAGATTGATTCCTGATACCCATTTATTAATTAATATCTACCACTTATATTCAAAACTATCTTATATAAGAACATTATAAATGCTTGGATGCATATATCAGCATTCACAATAAGGAAAAGGTTATGAAAAATAAAATCATACTTTCTTCCGTAAGCGACTTTTTCTTGCAGCTTCACGATTTTGGGCAAGCCGGCGAAGAGTCTGCAAAGAATAGAAACACGAACACTCACACCAAAAATTGATAGATTCACCTCAGATAATCCTAAATGTATTATAATTTAAACTAAAGAACCTTCTGATCTGATTTATCCTTTGATCTGTCACTGGAATCAGAAGCCACGATTGCAAGTTGTTGACCCCTTTCAAACTGCAACAGGGAGTGGAGCATCAATTTATTACATTTATAAACATCAGTCGACCTTCCAAGAAGAGCAAGAATGAAGAATTTATTTCTTCAAGGATTTAGAATCAAATATGGAGAGAGAGACACAGAGAGAGAGATCACCCTCTGATTTTTATCATCTGTTTCCACATCAGTTGAGATATCGGTCCTAGGACTTCCATCCGCCATAGTCGAGTCTCCCCAATTCTCCACACTACGATTAGGTACAGAAACCAGATTTGATAGTTGACTATTCTGTAATTGCAGCTTACGAGACTCCACTCCAGCGTTAGTTGTATCAACAGAAGTTGCTGACTGTTTACAAATATATGAAGGGAGACATGAAAAACTGATATAGATTTCTTGGGGGAGAGAGAGGAGAGGGAGGACGGGAGAGGGAGAGAAACAAATAAGAAAGAAATAATAAAGAAGGAAAAAATAATCAAACAATATCTAATCATCCCACAGACTACAAAAAAAAAAAAAAAAAAAAAATCTTGACTTGAAAGGGAATTTAGTAGTTCACCTTAATAAAACTAATTATATGAAATGGATCAGAAGCAACTGCTTGGCCTCTTTGTTTTGTTGAATTGAACACTACACCATTTTCACGAGAAACATATCAAAAGAAAATCATGTCAAAGTTTGATGGGACTTTGATGGCACAAAAGCAAGCATAGATAAATTCAGTCAGATGATCTTCGCATATACAAAAATAGTCTTCTGCATGTGTGCATCTGTATGCTCATTTTATGGAGGGAAGATTTATAGGGGAAAATATTAACAACCAATGAAGTAGGTTTTGCCACACTAACAATAACAAAATCCAATAGAAGAAAGCTTACTACTCCCTCCGTTCCATATTAGTTGTCCATCTTTGGTATTAGAAGTTTTTAAGGGGACATGCAATTAATGCATTGTCCCCTTCTAGAATTATCAACTTGTCCTTTTAAAGTTGGAAGATTTTTGAAAACTTAGGGGCAAGGCAATGATGGAAATATAGCATTTATTTTGCTTTGACTTTTCAAATGGGACAACTAATTTGGGACATCCTAAAAAGTAAAAATGGACTACTCATATAGGACAGAGGGAGTAGATTTTTACTCCTATTTTGGTACTTACTAAATATAGTAGGAAAAAAGAAATGGCTTTTTCAGAAATAAAAAATGTGACTTAAATCTTTTTCAGAAAATTCCTTCAACTAGTCAGCCACATTTTGTAATGGAGAAATCCTTTTTAGGGAGAAAATTCATCACAAATTTATTAATTTTTACCATATTAGTTTCCTTCTTAAAAAATGAGTGAAAATTTGTTTTTACATGGCACATGAAAACAAAAGTAGTTTAATTGTATTTAAATTTGGTCAAGGATTCTCTGATCAATGTGAGCGAATCAGCAGCACATAGAGGGGGAAGAACCTGCAAGCTCGTAGACGGGTTAAAGCCAAAGAAGAATACCAGACTAAAGGACTTTAGGCAGTGGGATCTTTGCCCTATTACAGTATCCCAAATACATGTCGGGTGTTAAGGTTTCTGTTTCTGTCGCTCATGATTCCAGGTGTCCTTCAATGCGGGAATCAGTCAAATTGTGGTTCTCATTTAAATCCCCATATCCTACAACCTATTGACAGTCCACAAGCTATGGTTGTCATAACTGGAACACAGTTTCAACAGACCATTAACTTAAGCCTCCATGCCAAGGGTATCCAAGTTTATCACAAGAAAAAGTTGACGAGGCAGGCCTCCTGCCATGACAGTCATGGAATATGCACGCTCACACCATGACACGAGGGCTACAGGATAGTTCTACATATTACCCTGAAGTTGAGCTGAATTTATATTGGACCAGGATATGCAATGCTCTCAACCGCAGAGTAATGGCCGGAAACCATGCCACAGCACTGGATCAGCAACTACTCTAAAAACGATGTGGTCGTAATGGTGTTCCCCTTCACACCTTGGTGAACTTTCTGCATCCCCCAAGTGGATAATCTAAGTAATTGGTCAGGAAGAAATGGTCATATCATGGTCAAAAATTACCCTCACGGGAGGGTCATATGATCCTGGAATAATAGCTAGGCTCAAAGCTATTAAAACAGCCTCAACGTCCCAATCAGCTGGACTATGAGATTACAACCTTGAGCTTAGAAAACCAACGAATAACCACCTAGCAAACTCAAGGAGCTTCCCCAAGCACTGCCTCCCCGCCTGGGCAGACACATGGTATCTAGGTGTATTTTGGGATTAGAGCTCCAGTCTCATTTTCTCCATCATCCCTGTCAACATTGTTTGTTTGCTATTATTATTTTGTACTATTATTATATACATACATATATTCCCTTCTTGTCCTGTGTTCAAACTGATCCTGTTTACTCTTTGAGAAGTCCAAAACAAGTTTGACATTCCACATTTCACAATGTTACTAACTTACTGCAGATTCTGCTATTTCTGGACTATGAATGCCAGAGCTGCAGATTCTGCTATTTAAAAGTCTATACCGGACAATAGGGAGTTTCTACTGCAACATTTGTATTTTTCTATTGGCAGTGGTGATGTTTTTAGCTTGTTCTATGATCCCTGGTATAATGGGCTTTCCTTTGTAATGGCCCCCATCCTACCCAGACACAATATTTTCCGATTTTGGGTCCCCTAGACCAGAGACTTCCGAGGAAGTCACCCATCCTGGTACTACTCCAGGTTAAGCACGCTTAACACCGGAGTTCTGATAGGTTCACGGCCATCACGGTTTTATAACGCATTGTGTCATAGAAGGGTGATGACCCTACATATTACACTTCACCTTTCCACACCCAAGTGATGTGGGACATGTGAGCACACGTAGCTCGCACCAGAGCCTTGCCTCTCACAGGCCTGCTCCCGCCCACCAAGCCTCACACTTGCACAAGAAATTTGGACTCAGAAGCTTACCCCCTACAGGTCACAATTACTTTGCTAAACTTTCAGTTTTGAAGACATCCTCTGGGTGGAGTGTTCCTGAAGGCTGGCCTATGGAGATTGGCCAGTTCTTGCATCAGTTGCTTTTGTCTGATTCTGCAGATACTATCAAGCGGTTCAAGATTTCTTTTAAGCCATGTGGAAGGTTTGTAGAGAGCAGAGTGTTACGGTACCATGGTACAAACTGGTGTGTAATTCCAGCAGGCCAAGAATTACTCTCCACTCTTCTCTTATCCTTCATGATTCATTCCCTTCCTATTTCAACCTAAGGAAGAGAGGATTTATTGGCCGGCTGTATGCCATATTGTTTCCATCATTCTGATTCCAGAGATCATCTTTTTTGGTGTTGTCCTTATGCAAATAGGGTGTGGCAGTGATTGTCTCAGGTGTCATTGGGATGTGCTTATGACTTTGCAGCATTTCTCTGATGTGGTGTCTTGGTTCATCTCTCAGACCCAGGGTCAAACAATGAGGAGTAGATTGATAAGGTGCCTTTTCTGTGCTGTTATATGGTGCATTTGGAATGAGAGGAACAGGAGGGTGCATGGTGGTGAGAATCATACCCCTCAACAACTGACTAAGGAAGAATGTTTTGAGGGTCTTCATGCTGTTGGTCTATCCATTGCTGATCTTGGTTCTGTATTTGCTACCTAGGCTTATGCAGACTAGTTTTTTTTTTTCTGGTATTGTTTTTCTGGTTTTGGGGTATGCCCCTTACTGGTGTTTCTTGTTTTTTCCTGCTGGTTCTCTGTGTCCCTAGTCTACAGGGTACACTTTCTCTATTGTACCATATTGTTTACTTGTTTTAATAAAATTAAAACCATTCAGGAAAGAAAAAAGAAAAAAAAGTTACTAACTTACTAATACAGGAGAAGAGTTGATTATTTTTCAGTAAGGTCTTAATCACCTCCAAAGGTAGCCATCTCTTTGATATCTCAAATTGTTAGCATATGGAGCTCGTTTTCTTGTAGTGGGGGTATACATTAACTCATATTTTCTTTAAATGAATTGCTATGATTTTTCAGTAATTCCCTTTTCGATATGTCAGTGAATCCATTTCTTTGGAAGTTATAACAGTAATGGAAGTTCCAAATAGTGCAGTGTGAGGGGAACATTAGCATATTTGGAAGTGGACCTTCTTTGCACAGATGACTATTAATGACACTCTCCATGGTAAATCCCCTGGAAGAATAGGTGTGGAAAGCCCCAAAACAATTATGAAAAAAAAAAAGCCCCAAAAGGATATCATTAGGTGTAAGAGGGAGGCAAACTCAATGAACCATCTTCCCATTCCATGTGATTTTGCAAAAATGCAGTTCTTATCTCTTCATTCACTTTAGAGTAGCATCAATTTCTCCACTTTTATGTGATAAGAGTTATTTAATGGGTGGCAACCGTTGAGTTTTAATGGTAGAAGTACAGTACTTTTTCTTCTATTCTTTGTACTATCTGATGAATATGGAAGAAGCTTAACAGGAGAAGCATTAATGATATGGATCTCTCAACTCCTAGGAAAGGAGGAAGAGATCTATTACTTATCAAAAATAAATAAATAAATAAAAAGAGGAGGAAAAGATCTCTTAATTATGAGCATAAATTAAGAGGACTTTAGGGTTTCAGCTTTACATATTTTGTTAATTGCCTTCACATTGGGTAGAACAGGGTAATTTATACATCATATTTCATGCACTTATTACTTCTATAATAGCTTGAACCAAAAAAAATCAAAACTATTTAAAAATTAGATAGTTAAAATGCTTGCAATTTCCTGTGCATATCAGAAGAACAAACATTAGCAACATTTTTTTTTAAGTGACAACCACTTGTATTTTAAAGGGAAGCTTTGATGATTAGTTTCATTGAAGCTTTGATAAAGTAACAAAGTTAATAAAGCACCAAAATGTAACCTTTGTAATTGAACATACCAGGCTGTTTTCCACCTTCATGTACCACATGGCAAATAATTCTAGTAGTTAAATTTTCCAACTGAAATGAATTAAGAAAATTCAGATCTAGAATTCGAAAGAAAAAAAAGTCAAATTCTGGATCAAATTTTGGCCGAAAGTGAAAAATGCAGGTTTTTTTTTTTTTTTTTTCCAACTATTTTTGAAAAGCTAAGCAGGGGTAATTCTAAAGATTCCCGGGGGAAAAGTATAGATGTCTCCTACGTTACCCATAATACATGGAAGTATCAAATCAAAATTCAACTAATAATTTTTGGTAATAAAAAAAGAAGGCCAACTACTGGAACGTTCTGCATAGAGAAAACATCAGTTATGCCAGTATGATCACTTCATGCTACCATCTCAGCTGCCAAGTAAAAATAGTTGGAAAAATAAAAACACCACAAAAGCATTGGCCTGTTTTTTCAGTAATATGGACACCACTCTCCCAATCGTTTACTTGTTTATGACCATTTAAGTCACCTCACGCGTTCTTATTAATATGAGAAAATAGGCTCGTGCTGTGTTTCATACTCTGAAAAATTAAACTAAAAATAAAGACTGATTGTCCTCTCAATCTTAGGAAATGATGCGTACCAAAAGAAGGAGCAATAATATGCCATTATACACATTAAATCTCAAAGCTTACCAAGTAAAAGAATACATTGTCCCTATATGCTTGCTTCAAACATGATTAATTGTTGAGGTTGGATTGCTCAATACTTACTTCCACTCAAGCCAATAACATCCTCTATGCGAAATCCAATGGATTGTTCAAGCGCCTCAAAGTCAGCTACTTGACTAGAACGGACAGAACTTCCCTCTGTGCAACTGTAAGCATGCTTCTATCAAATTCATTACTCATAACGATGCAATAAAACCTAAGAAGACCATTGACCATCAAAGTTAAAGCAGTAGTTATAATTTCGAACTAACTTGTTATAACCTCTAACAGCCAAAATCATGAATTAACACCACTATTTCCAGTCATCTAAAATGCCCACCATTGATGGAACCAATGGAAGTATGTTATAATGTAACATTAGACCAAGAAGAAGACTCTTAATCAGAATGGGATACTTTGAAACAAGGGTGTCCATCGAATGGCAACCACTCCTTTAAAATTGGTTTTATGCAATACAAATAGAAACAATCAAAACAAAATATGAGAACTTATCAAGCTGATTATATAAAAAGAAAAGGCCACATTTCTCAGTAAATTTTTTCACTTATGTGACCATCAACAGATTGACTTAAAGATGGAACTTACAGTGCAGTGGAAATGGACAATGTTGGAATAAAGCTTGGCATTCCGCAGGCTGCTTCCTTTTCATTTTCTGCACAAGAGCTCACTCTTTTACCACCCATACATCACCACCATCGCCTCACCTCAGTACCCTTAAACAAAATAAATAAATAAGCAAAAAAAAAACCCAAACACTAAACAAGCTAAAAGCCAAACAAGTAAATCTCAACTCAGAAATATAATGCACTGTAAAGTTAGCACAACTGTGAGCCACAACAAAATCAACAAATGGCACATAATCCTGAGATTAAGACTCCAATTAACTTTGAATTAAATTCCCAAACCAAAAGAACCAACAACTCGTCGCAATTAGTATAGCCCAAAAATTACAAAGAAACTCTAATAACCAGAAACCCAGATATTCCTAAATATTTAGAGTCATCACTCTACAACAAAACCACCAAAAAAATCCATAAAGCAGCAATCTTTTTACCATCAAAACAAGAAAAACATTTTAGAACATGACATGTTTCAGAAGCTTCCAAAGACCGTTAAACATAAACCAAAATAACAGTTAGTTCATCATTAACAGCAACATCGTAGACAAACAACAAGAATGGGTCTCCAAGACACTTGTACACCAATCCAACCAAACAAAGAGTTCAAAACCAACAAAAAACACAGAAAACAAGCCCTAATTACAGAGGCAACCGAATATCACAGTAGCCAATTTCAGATTGATGTAAATCTTTTCGTGTTCGAAAAACAACATAAGCATAAATTAAAATGTACCTAAAACTAAAAACAGAAAGTTTTGGTTCAAAATCAGAACTCTGTATTGTAAATCTTGGGTCCTGAAAGGCAAGAACTCTAACGCCAACTCAGTGACACAAAGCACAGAGAATCCTAATAGAGAGCACTCAAAAATCAAATTCACCCATTCAGGACACCAAAATAGAAAAAATAACACTAACTCAGCAATACCCAGAAGCTAAAACAACTAAAGTTGAATTCTTGCACGGAAATTCAGCACAACAAACAACACCCAGAAACCTAAAACGGACTAAAATCACGAAAAAAAACAAGTAATAAGACAAGCTATTGTAGATTAAAATTACCTTTTGACTTTGGTACAAAATTTTCTCCCAAAAGGGGGCTACTACTTAATCCAGCTAATCAAATCTAAAGTTCCAAGTTTCAAACTTTGAACCCCAACTCACCTGTAACTTCGTTGAAACTATACTACTGTATAATGAATGAATAAGTGTTGACAGAGAGACGTTTGGACCATTCCCATCTATATAGACTTCTGGTTCTGCATAAATCTTCCACATTCCAATGACTGCTATTATTTTAAGCAATTTAATAATGTTTAGTGGTTTGACAATTAACATGTAGTTGTGTAATTTAATAAGAGTAACAATTTTCTTTATTTTATAATTTATATATATATATATATATACACACATATTGGAATAAGATAATACTAATAAGAATAATGATAGGGATATCGATAAATTAACTCCGAATAAATATTGAGACCGATAAATTAATTCCTAGTAAGTATGACATGTTTTTGTCCACCTCACTTACTTAAATAATTTTCAAAAATAATTATTTAACACCCAATAGAATTGACCAACCACGTCAAATTTGATACTAATTTACTTATTCCTTTTCGATTCCCTATCATTAGTCTACTAATAATACAGCCAATCTTACCCATGACAATGGGTAAAAATGAAGGAGAGAAAAAGTTGGGAATTTTTGCAAGAGTATATAAAAGCCTGCACTCGCTTTTCAGAGTCTACATGTAACGACCCACTCCACCACATGATATGATATTGTCCATTTTGGGCATGAGCCCGCACGATTTTGCTCTTGAGTTTCACCCCAAAAGGCCTCATACCAATTGGAGGTGACACACTTACCTATAAGAACTTCACCTTTCCTCTACTCAGATCTCTTGCACCCGCTCACGGCAAGGCTGGGTCAGGCTTTGATACAATTTGTAACGACCCACTCCACCACATGGTATGATATTGTCCGTTTTGGGCCTGAACCTGCACGGTTTTGCTCTTGGGTTTCACCCCGAAATGCCCCATACCAATTGGAGGTGACACACTTACATATAAGAAATTCACATTTCCTCTACCCAGGCGATATGGGATTGTACACCCGTAACTCGCCAGTGTGGTAGCCTGATAATATCTTTTACACCCACTCATGACATACCCGTCCACAAGGTCATCACACTACACGTGTCCATGCAACATGTTCATGAACCATCATCACTAACTTCAAGAAGTTGGGCCATGCTAAACTGGCTTACATTACTGGCCTTATATTTTCACCCCTTTTAAGTACTGTATAACTTTAGAGTGTCCCTTTCCATTTTGGATTTTTCAAAATAAATGTTTATTAAAATGTCAATGCAATTAATTGTTTATTTTCAAAGGAAAAGTCTTTTTCCTGACTGGCCCACAAGGCTCTTGTCACTTACTCCTCTGTATAAAAACTTTAAAGGGGTATTTTTTTCATCTAAACATGACCTGTTTGATTTGTCAAGATAAAAGATATTTTCATATTTTTGAATGTTTTTATATTGACAATTTATATTTTACAATTAAAGGAGGGCTAATTTTGATATTTCAAAGTCTTTAAAAAGTTTAAGTTAATCGAGAGGGAATAATGGAGGGAGTAAGTAACAAGTCCGGTATGTTTCGGATAGAACTCCTTACTTTATAAAAAGTCGTATTCATTGTGGGACAAGAACTCATAACGTCTATATTAGTATATAATTCAAGAGATGTTAATTCACACTCTTCCTGTAGGGATTTAAAATAAATCCAAGTGAGCTAAACCCAAAACTATCAGTGACTTAATAGGTAAAAAATATCTTTTAATGGACATTCTAAATTCAATATATTACTTCCTCCATCCCATATTTAGTGCCGCCTTTGGTAACTGTGACGACACTAAATATGGGACCGAAGGAATATTTGTAGGGAGATTGTGACACATTGGGAATGGACAGTGCTAAGAAGGATTTTACATGAGATTTTCATGGCATGAGTAGGCTTAGAGCCTTTTACATTTTGTGGACACGATAGTGGAGTTTTGAAAAAGATTGAAGATTCTAAAATGGCGAAGAATTTGTAAATATGTGTGGAGTGTAGAAAACAATTATAGTAGAGGACAGAGTTTTACATAGTGGTAGACAAATGGGTAGAGATTTCTATATGGAAGATCTTGACTATTCATTATAATACATCATAACCATTCATTATAACCATTCATGTGACAGGAGAATGCATATAAATAGGTAAAACGTGATTTGTAAACTCAGATTGGTAAGCATGCGAATGAGACCGTCCAATAAATCTACCAGAATTGGTTCTCAAAAATATTTCGCTAGTTTTTATCTATAAAGTATTTTGTTAGCACGAACAAAAAAACTCCCGTCAAACTAATATGTTGATTTTTCTTTTCCATTCACCGGATCTCTTCCATTTATCCATTTTATTTGGATTCTCTGCTTTTTCTTTTCTTTTTTTTTTGTAACTCTTTGATGAATTTAAAAGTGTTTAATATCCTTGTTTTAGAAGATTATGATTCTAACAAGTCGTCCTATCAAATTAGGACTTCAAATCAATAATGGGAAAGCCTAATATAAAAGCCACATCAAGCCTTCCAATAAATTTTGGAAATAATTAATTTAAGTGAATATCATGGATAGAAAGTTGATAATAGATCTAAAATCCTGTCAAAATTCATGTTAAAGTAGTATAGAAATGTCATTAGTCTTGTTAGCAGCGACATTATGCACAAAAACAAAACTTATCTCAATCAATTGTTATTTTAACCAAATTATGACTGGAAGTTGAACTAAGTGGCTCTTTTCAAATATAAAAACTTTATTTCTAAGACTTTGAAAAAAAACAAAAATGGACAGTTTCTGCTACAATAATTGAAGTATGCACTTATAAAGTGATGCGCGCAATAGTGCTCTAATAATAACCTATGTCTATTCATGGTCTCTCTATAATATATGTCAAAAAGATACCTAATTTTTGCCGACCAGCGTCCATAGAGTAAGATCCATTAGTTCGTTTTGGATTATCTAATGAAAAGATTTCTCCATACAAAACTTCACCACTGAAAAAAAAAATTGATTTTAAAAGTGATTTAATTCAAATAAACCAAAAAAACCTCTGTCAATCTCTTTTCATGGTACCATTTCTAGGTCAGGAAATCAAGTTGTTGAGATGATCTTAACTTGATGATAAAGTTAAGGGCAAATTAAACTAATATTTCTGAGCTTTGAGCGCGAGGCTAGCATTTTCTTTCTGACAGGCTCATTGACCAAATTTTATAAAATGACAATTTTGTCCTTCCCTGTATAAATAGGGTAAATGCCCTGAAACTCTATATTATTATAATATAAGGGCAATTACACGATCTACCCGTGTATAACTTGCCCTTGCCCGAAGCTAATGGAAGGTCTGTAATTTACCCTAAAGTTAAACCAAGACCTAGAATGGTTTATTGTAGACAGGAATACTTAAAATAAGTCAAGCATCCTGATATGAAACTAAAGCATTGCCGTATCTCTTACAACTAACAGAATAAAGTTTCCACCATTTACATAAACTGCTTTGACAACGAGGATTGTAGACAGAAAGAAAAAAAAAAAAAAAGCATACAATCCCAATTTCACACTTGAATACACTTCTATTGTCATACTCATAAAGGGAGATGTTCCCTGGAAAAATAAATAAATAAATAACTCTCGCTTTTCCCTGGAAAAATAAAATTTCTACCAAGTATGTATCTCCAGTTCTCGAAAGAGCAGCCCGACCTGTGAGAAGCCTTCCCCACCCCACTAAGTAAAAGAAATAAGGCTTGGGTTGCTCATACCCCCAAGTACTAAATGTTGGCACACACAAGAATGCACACATAGATGTTAAAGATAAATTCATCCCACAAAGTGGACGAAAAGCTGGTCGAAAGAATTTAGATAGTTGAGGCGGCAGCACTCTCTCTGTGTCTCTCTCTCTCTAGCACAAGACACACAAACACTCTTGCAGTCTAAACTGGTTTAGAACTTCAGACACAACTTGGCTCTTCAAAAAAAGTGAGAAATGCTTGGAAGTCCTGAAACCAAAAAATAAGTACAATTAAATCCATAACCTATAAGGAATATGAAAATATAAAATTCCATTGTACAACATTTTTCAAGGGAGTTTGTGGAGTGAAGGGGTTCAGAAACTGATTACACAAAAATGTATTTTGTCCTCAAGCTGAACATGAAAAAAAAAAAAAAAAAATTAAAAATCCACCTTGAACATTGAAGGGAACCTTAGAGGCCCAGATAGCTTTTCACGAGAGACATGAACCTGAAAACCCAGGCAACAATTTAATCACAAAGATCCAACCTCAAAGCTGCCTATCTTGGAAAGGGCCCTATCTCACACCCCATTCGCCCATCTCATACAATATACTTGCGAATCCTTAGATGTGAAGCGCTAAATGAGAAACATGTTAACCTATATCTACTAGAGCAGATTCCTAATCAAGCCAATAAATTGAGAACATACATAGGATTGTGACTGCAAGTGAACCCTTCTCAAGGAAGGAAGAAGCCAAAGTGATGAAACTAGAACCTCAGATATTGTCCAACATGTATAGCTTTTTGGAGACCGCAAACATGAGGACAGATGGAATTAACAACCCACAATAGATGTTGAGTTTGTACTTCCTGAACAAAAATCCCAATGAAGATATATATAATAGACATTGAATTGATGGGTAGGTCAGCATGGAAAATTACAGACTGTTTGAAGGCAAGCTCAAATCTCAATGGAGGTAGTATTGGGAAACCAAACAAGCCAAAAATATATAAATATTATCCTTCCAAGTGCCATCTTGAGACCGATGATCAAAACGGACGAGATAGAGAGGGCAAACAAAGCAGTATTGAGATCAATTAACAATCTCATGATCAATTATAATATTTATGGAGGATAATGATGGCAGACAAAGTGAAGTCACAGATTTCTTCTTGGTATAATGGGTTCTAAAGGAGTGCAGAATAAGAATGGCAAGCGTAATAATGGTCAATGGGTAAAATTGAAGGCAAAGGATCAACAGAGGGATTACAAAGTTTAATTACTAGCTGCTTGATCACATATATAAACTTGTGATAGGACCCAGAAGGCAATTCTCATGCACTGATAACTGTATCAGATAAAAAAAACACAAGCAATAGTTTCAGTACTAAAGTTGATCATCTTAGTGTTAGTGCAGACAAGGTTAGCACTACCTAGTACCTATGAACACCCAGAGAAAGACTAATCTGGTAAAGATCCACATAAAACCTCATCCAAATGTTGTTAATCTCACAAAGGCCCTGCTACACTATGCAGAGACACAATTCATTCTCTGCATCAACCTAAAGCCATTATTACCAAATTTGTGAAGATCTCTGTATAAACATTGCTTCTAAAGGAACAAAAAAAAAAAAAAACATTGTCCCCAGAAATGTCAACTAGTATGTTCACAAATGTTGTGCATGCTAGATGCTAAACTAACACAGGTATATCAAATTTTGGACAACAACAAACCTCAGCGTAATCCAAAAATCTCTTCAGGAGGATCATAAACATGTTGATCAGGAAAGATCTCCTCAAAATCTTGCTTGACCCTGTTTCTCAAGAGGGGATGAGGCAGAAGCCCCTTCAATAAAATTCTAAATGGTAACTCTTCTGGTGGGTCAGGCGATTTCTTCATGTCCTCGTAGATGTTCATTGCATCTGCAGGAGACCCATACCTCAAGAAGCCCCGAATAACTTCCGTATATGTTTGATAATCAGGGAACAAATCTTCCTTTCTCATACTTTCCCACAATTGCATTGCGTCATCCATCTTTTTACACTTAGCTAACGCAATAATCATGTCCTTGTACAGAAATACGTCAGGCACATACCAATCTTGCTTCTGAATCACCTTGAACATCTGGAAATTCAATGGTTAGTTATATGTGTAAGGAACATTATCAGTCATAATAAATCCAAGAACTAGGCAGAACAATAAAGGATTCAGTAGAAACTATCTAAATATTTAAGACTGTTACTACAAAGAAAACGGTCCTTATAAGATATAAAAATTATTCCCGATATGTGTAATGAGATAGCGACTAGGGTTTGTACTATGTGTGGAGAGACTACTGATTTTTCTGTAAAAGTAAGATTACAGCAAGGATCAGTGCTAAAGCTCATATCCATTTACAATAATTTTAGATAAAACAACAAAAGACACACAATGAGACGTTCCATGGTGCATGTTATCGGCTGATAACATAATACTATTGGATACTTCTAAAACAACACAATCAATAAAATTAGAAACATAGAGAAATGCATTAGAAGCTAGAAGCAAAAGGTTAAGAATTAGTAAAAGTAAAAAACAATATATATGGAATGTTAATCTAATAAAGTATCATAGAATTGTAAAGTTAATAAAGTATCAGAAAATGACAATATAACTATAAAAGTTGAAAACTAATTAATGATTCCAATATTTAGAATCATTATTATAAAAGGATGAAAAGATAGATGACGATGTAATTAGGAGGATTGGAGCATGATGAACAAAATGAAGACGTGATAGCGGTGTTCTCTGTGATAAACGAAAATCAAATAAGTTACAAGAAAATTCTTTATAAGGCGGTTATTTGGTTAGCTATCTTATACACAGGAAATTGTTAGGTTTTTTTACACATTTATGTATCTAAAATAAGAGTGTCGATATCGATGATAGGATTGACTAGAAGAGATAGGGTCAACAATCAATGTGTAAGGGACAAATTAGAAGTGACTCCTATTAGTGATAAAAATAAGAGAAAGTAGGTTTAGCCTTTTAGGTAGATTAATTTGCATAGAAGGTAAGACACAAAGAGACGGACAAAACTAACGGGGAGTAAAAAAATTACAAATTAGTTTACAAGTTATATATATTTGGAGAGAGAACTTGTAATTGAAAAATAAATAAAACTGAGAAAAAGAGAATCATATGGTCGACCTCATTAATGTTGATGACTAAAATAAATCAAGCCCTATAAACATTTTGGATTGAAACAAATATTCAATTACATAAAACTACACCCAATCACCCATAAATACATTTACCATAAAAAGCAACTAAACTAAACTCGACACAACGGACGTTGCAAATGAATAATAACTGGTATAGTGGCAAAACCCAAATATCATTTCTTTTACCACATTTTTGCGGCACTTAGTAGTGAGCCTTAATATCTAATACTTCTTAACCACCCAAAATTGAAAGAAATATAGCTGTTTCAACTAAGAAAATAACCCGGATATAAAAAACATGTCCCTAACAAATCAAAGGATCTAACTTAACCACCAAAAACTAATTGCGTGGGTTGTTTAGCACCTTTCAATGCCAAAAATTCTTGTGTGGTGGATCCCAAACACAAAAAAGGCCAGGCCATGATACAAAACAATATGTACCACTTCCTAATTTATCCCTATCAAGTCAACATGACTCTATTAAACTATTTGGGTGAAAAAATAAGGATACTGGCTCCATTATTTATACATGTCCTTTATCTAGTCAATGCTTCTAGTGTGACTCCTTTTCTTTCTTTCAAATTTTTTTTTTTTTTTTTTGATAAGTAAGATTGTATTAAGAAGCGTTCAAAAGGTGAACGCATCCCTCAAAAGCTACACCATGCCAAATTGGTGAGGAGACTAATGTAAAGATGGAAAGAGGAGAATTAATATGTTCATATAATTTTTTTATCAGAACTCTAGATTTATGATATAGTGGGGACTCCTTTTTTTTCTTTAGCCCCACCATATCATAAATCTAGAGGTCTGATATCCATCTTTACATTAGTCTCCTCACCGATTAAATAAATTTACGTGAACCATCTTTTCTTTATCGTACTGCTTCAAGTTTTATAAATAACTTGCCAAATGACAAAAACAATTTACATGAACCAATAAATTTCCTGAACATAGCATACTCGTTAAACAATTTTATAATTTTAACTACCCCTGTTCAAAATCACCCAAATTCAAAAAATTTAATAATTTACACTAATTGGGTGAAAACAATTGTGCTCTTTCTAATTAGTCTAAAACATTCCATCTTCCTTGGAGTTCACTTCTATCCTAACTAAAAATTTACGAATTCAGATCATAAGTCATTACAATTTGCTTATAATTATTTTAAATATCCATCTATTCAAAATCATCCCAAAAAAATAAAAACTACGCATAAAGTTGCACTGATTGGGCGAAAACAATATGCACCCTCCCTAGTTCACTAGTCTCGCGAAATTCCATCTTCCTTGGAGTTCACTTCTATCCTAACTAAAAATTTAAGGGATTCAGATCAAAAGTCACTAAAATTTGCTTACAATTATAAACATTTCAAAAAATGCAACAATAAACAACCAAAGAAAGTTGAAATATTACGATAATATATGTGTGCGCGCGTGTATGTGGTTGACATTCAGAGTGACTTCCTCTTGACGACCAAAGAAAGTCCAAATTTACCCATTAATTCAAGAGCCACCAAATAAATTTGCATATAATTAAAAACACTTCAAACAATTCACAAATTTTGCAACAACAAGCGACCAAATAGAGTTGAAATTTGTAAGCAGATTAATCCCCAAATGACAAAAACACCTGAAATCATACGATTATGTGTGTGTGTGGGCATTACCTTGACAGCTAGAGTGACTTCCTCTTGGCGCTCGAGCTCGTTGAGGACAGCAACCATGTCCATCTTCAAGAGCCTCAGCACATGGGTCTTGATGAATTTCTCGAGTTTCTCTTCGTCGTCTTTGAATCTCTTCAGTCCCAAAATCACGAAGATAGCTTCTTTGCCTATCAATTTCTTGCCCCTCCAAAGGGATCCTCTTGGCCTCCCGTCATGGTAATGGCGGGGCTTGAGAGTGCTCGTGAAGGGTTCGCAAGAGCTGGGATTCAAAGTTAGGGTTTTTGGCACAAATCGCGAGAGTTGTAATGAAGAAGAAGAGTCTTTGATGATGATGGTTCTCAGTAGGTCTCGGAGGACAATCGATGAAGCTAATAAGGGTATTCTTGATTTTGAAAGGGCACCCATTGGTACCTAGAGAGAGAAAGTGGAGAGAGAAACAGGGTGGAGTGCAGAGTGGGCTCTGATGGCCGTGAGGGAGCTCAGGGAGGGGCGGTGGGCGGAGAGAATTGTGTTGTATACTCTGTGCGTGTGTGAAAGAGAGTTTTTTTTTTTTTTAAATAAAAAATTAAAAAAAAAATGTTTTTTAAAGGTACGTATTTTAAATGTTTGATAAAATAAGGGTTAACTGAGTGAAATATATATATATATATATAATAAGGGTTAACTGATTGAAATATATATATATATATATTGCAATAAACACGATCATACATTTACTTTATTAGTTGAAAATTTGAGATCATGCGTTTTTTTATTAAAAGAGGTAAAGTATTATCATTACGCTATGTGTCTTTGAGGGTGAATAAAAATATGTTTGTGTGTGATTTTAACTATATATATTCTTAACCATGTATATACATATATTACTCTAGATTGGGTTTAATCATGTATTTGATTTTAAAAATATTGAATAAAGTTTTATTAACTTGGGTTGAGAGATGGAGTGAATTTTATAATTTATGCAGAAAAGGAACATAGGAATGATGAGAAACAAGGTGTTGTTTATTTTTTTAAAAAAAATAAAATATAAAGAATAAAAGATTTTGTTCTACAATAAAATTTTATTTTTTAACTTAATTTAAAAAATTATCTATTAAACAAAATTTTATATTTTTTGATAAAATTTTGTTCTCTAAAAATAAAAAAAAACTGTTCTTCAAAGAGGTTTTGTTTTATAAATATATATATATATGAGAATAAAATAAGTTTAGAGGGTTTGGATTAAGTTTTTTTTTTATTTTTTATTTACTTTTTTTTAGGAAGTTAAAGCAATTGACATACATAGGATGGAGCCTGGACCATTTGGCTACAAACACTGACACCTTGCCAACTGGGCTACCAACCTAGGTTTGAATTAAGTAAACTCTTAATATAACACGCCACGACTGTACACAATATTTATTTTTATTGAAGTTGTTATCAATGTATGATGGTGCGAGCTAAGTGCAACTTCTTATGTAAGGTGTTTTTTCTTGACTGTCAAATCCAATCATGACAATTTAATTTCTTGACTATCACGTCCGATTATAATAATTTATATAACATAAACACTTACATGAGGAGTTTTTTTTTTATTTTTTTTTTTTTCCTATGTGTGTCGATTTCATAACACATGAATCATTCAAGTTAAAAGTATGGATCAAAAGTAAGATTTCAAAAACTTACCTCTCGAATTTCTGTCAACGCCACCATACCCTAAGCCATTCCTCCTATACCTTGGAGTGTTTACCTTTTTGTTATAGACAGAGCAATCACATTAATAATTACACCGACAGGTATTACATTTTAATTGATAGAGGCAATAACATTATAGTTTATTTTGTGTGAAAGTATAAATAGTAGTAAAAGTAATATTTTAAAATGAAAAACTAACAAGAATAGTGATTTAATTATAATATAAGCTTTAATAATCTCGATGTAATTCAAAAATTACACAGCATTGGTTGGTGAGGCAATAATTGTTATGGAATAATTTATAAGAAAAAATTTAAGTAAAAAATGAATATTTGTGAACAATGTGAATATTATTTAAAAACGAGTAATTCAAATACAATCAAACTTGCGATTGATCCACACAATTTGCAATCTTTCTGGACACCTCCCATTTTTTTTTTAATTAAGGTTGAATGCACTTAGACCCATAGTATATGTGATGTGCACCATACTCAAGTAATGTAACTTAATCGAGGCCAATGCAACTTTGTGCAAACTAAGCATCTGCTAATCAAAATTGTTGTGATACCCCCATAAAGTTTAGGGGAAGGTTGGCCAGACTCGCACACGAAAATTAGAAGATATATAAGTAATTGATAATAAACAAGCACATAGTACAAAATAATAATAATAAAAAGGAATTAAAAGCGAAAAGAAATTATAATTAATAAATAAAATTCATCCTTAGTTTTTCACAATTAAAACTCCATTAATAATCCAGTTATTACTTGGGAATTTAGTAAAACAAGGACCCTAAACCAATTCTCAATATCCAATACTTGAAAGAAAATAACAGTAATGTCTAAGTAACAAATAAAACTTCGATTATGAAGTAATCCGGAAGAGTGGATGATGAATGAAGCCTCTATTCTGAAGTAGTCCTTAACCCTTAAAATTTTCTCTAAAATCATGGGATATTACAATTGTCATCTCACGAGTAACAGTTAAGCGGTAACGTCTTCTAAACAACCAATCGTCCAATCTGAATTCACCTTAAATCACGTGGCACCTGAGAAACAAAGTGATTATATGCACGAGAAGAGTATAGTCACCCTGTGAGAGAAATGGGAGAACATATGCAAATAGTTTGCTCCTCGAGTTTGGTCTAACTGCTGATTCAGTTGAAGTAAGAACTTTAAAATCCAAAATAAATGTGAATTTCTTGATTAATAGGGCAAAAAACCCTAGGTGGTAGATACCAATAAAAAATTGAGACATTATTAAATAAAAATTCAAAATTTAAATGCATTAATCAATCAACTCAAAGCATAATAAGGAAAAATAAAAAATAAAAAAATTTGTTGTCCCCACTTGACTGAGTTGTATTTTTCATGTATGATATCGAACATATTGCAATGTATTTTTCATGTATGATTAAATTACTCGTACTTAAAATATATGGCAATAATAAAAATATTTGCGTGACCATAAACATGAAGCATTCATTTAAGAAAATTGAGTGTGCATCATCATCTACATTGCCCAAAAATACAAGCATATAAATACTTCGAGGAATAACTTTAACTATTTGCGTGACCATAAACATGAAGCATTCATTTAAGAAAATTGAGTGTGCATCATCATCTACATTGCCCAAAAATACAAGCATATAAATAATTCGAGGAATAACTTTAACTAGTCTTCCACAACATGATATTTAGAATATATCAATGTGTATCAATATCAAACATTGCAATTACATCAATGAAATAATTGAATTAGCGAAAGAAAAATTTTAAATGCCAATTCACGAATGTTTTTTTAATGAACCACTGTTGACCAATTTTTGGCATAAATATTAAGATGGCTTGCATTTCCAACTATCAAATTGTATAAAAACATATTAAATTAATATTACAGAACCAACAAATAGAGTCTACAGAGTATCTATTACTCAAAATAAATAAATAAAAGGGAAAAGCAAACCAGATCTAAATAAAAATAAATAAATAAATAAAATAACTAGAAAAGAAAAACAGATTTAGTTTGGTAGGTGTGAATGGAATGAAATAAACTAGAATAGAATGCTTTTAATTCCATTCTTTTGTTTGTAAAGTAATTTTAAAGATAGAATGCACATTCTTCATCTTTCTTATCAACTGGCAATTTGCATCTATTGAAGTCAAACGACGACCAATAAGTCGGCTATTTGCATCCATATACAATGATAAAGCACTAACATATATGTTGACGAGAGAGATGCATGTCGTTGAGATTGTATTCTTGATTAAAAAACGAGCGAAAATATATATTTATTTGGTTTACATATATATATATAAGTTTTTCTTTTTAAGCCATGCATAACCACGCAAGATAATGTGAATGGTCTATCTATTCTCGTTCCATTCCCATTTTATTATGTAATTTATTTCATTTCTATCTTGTTTTATTTCTCTGTACCAAACTAGCCCTAAAGTTTTACCCTTTATACTAATTGTCACCACTTTATTGAAGAAGTTTTCATATGTTTCAACTACCGTGTCTGATTCAAGTAGCTCCCGTTCTTCCACAAAACCCATGGGGGTCATGACGAAATAATTCATGTGTACTTGTCTCAATTCCTCGTAAAATTAAGGCTAAAAAATATAAGGAAAGAGAGAGAGAGAGAGATGAGTGAGGAAAAAAAATCAGCAATAATGATCTCAAAAAGATAAACTTATATGAAAAATGAATGTGTTGATTTTAAATAAAATTATTTTTTATTCATACGGGATTAAACCAATGATTATAATGATCGTTATGTATCAATCCCCTTGCCCCCTTTCTTTTTGAATTTGTTCATCTCAAATTTGAAATTTTCTACTTCTTTTTCATTTGTTTATTTTAAATTAAATTCCTCTCTCTCTCTCTCTCTCTCTTTTCTTCCATCATCGGGCGAAAGAATACAAAATTAATAAATTCCAATTTGACTTGCTAATTTGAGCTTATCCATGCGGGTTATGCAATCTTTGAATAATAATTCATTCTTTTGAAAGATCGATCTTATTTTTTAAAATAATATTAATATTAATATTTTTTATTATATACTCCGTATTATATTAGTATTATACTATTAGTTAGTCTATGGAAAACTCATTGTACTCTTGAAATAACATTCAATATGGTTTGAACATTTACTTTCACACTTGTAAACTAAAAAAAGTCTACAGTGACATAATTTATATATATATGCACATGTGAATAGACTATATATATATATAAATTATGTCACTGTAGACTTTTTTTAGTTTACAAGTGTGAAAGTGAATGTTTAAACCATATTGAATGTTATTTCAAGAGTATATATATATATATGTGACTATATTCCATGACTCTGCAGTTATTTGACAAAACCCAAGTTGCTGATCCTTTCTTCTCCAATAAGAAAAGCCCAAGTTAATGAAAATGAAAGTCCTTCTCGAAGGAGAAGAAGCCCAAAGTTGATAACCCAAAAAAACTTGAACCATAAACAATTTAACAAAACAAACGACCTTTGCAACCAGACGACAAAGTGAATGGCGTAAGCATCAGACGTAATCTCATCCATTCCCGTCTAACCATCCGGTGGCTTCTGTACTGCCACGTGGCAAAAGTGTATTCTCAATTCCTGCTGCTTCGCAGAAACCCCGCGCTTCTAGATGACACGTTGACTCTTGAGTACCAGGAAAACTTTTATATCATTTCATTTTTATGTTTCTTTGAATAGGGAGTTGAAAGATTTTATTTTCAAAAGTGATAGATATTTTATTGAGTACGGTTCTTTTTAAAATTTACTATTTTTTAATGTTAATCTCTTTTTGTTTTTATTTTTAATGGCGCTTTCTATAAAATGTGAA